GGGCGTCGCGCGGGCGACGGCGGGCCGGTCGTCGCGCGACGAGCTCCTCGAGCTCGCGCGCGGCGGCGACGGCTTCGTCGCCGCGCGCGCGCGGCTCGTGCTCGACTACCGCCTCGCGGCGCCGTGCCGCGCGCGGCTCAAGGCGCTCGAGGCCGCGCTCGGGCCGCACCCGACGCTCGGCGCGGCCTCCGACCTGTGCGCGCGGCCGCGCGTCCACTGCTTCGGCTCCAAGACGGGCCGCTGCTGCTACGAGGCGCCGAACCTGCAGTCCTTCGAGCGCGGCGGCGTGACGATCCTGCGCATGGCGCGGCCGTCCGCGCGGGACGTGCTCGACGGCGGCGGCCAGGGCAGGACAAAAGAGCGAAATTCCCAACTTCAAAGGCTCCGATCTCGGCCATTTTCCACTCGTTTCGGCTGATTTTTGGACGAGCGATCATCTTTCGGAACGGTCTCGACGCGTGGATGCTTCTTCCGGAACGCGCGCGCGCGGAACACTCACGTTGAAGCGACGTTGAATCACCCTTTTGCTGCCCAGGCGGCGGCGGCGCCGCCGCGTGCCTCGCGCCGGGCGCGGCCGTCGCGTGCCTCCTGGCCACGGTGTCGGCCGCGGCGCCCCTGGGGACGCTCTGCTACGGCGCGCTTGAGGCCGTGCTGCCCGACCGGTGCCTCGCCGACGGCCTCGACGGCGGCGGCGGGCGGCCGCTCGCGGACTACTGGCTCGACGAGCCCGCGCGGGGCTTCGCCTGGTCCTACGACGGCGACGCGCAGCGGTCCATCTGCCAGGTGCGCGTCCGCGTGCGGGGGCGCAACCTCACCTACCCCGCGGACCGCGTCTACTGCCTCGACGCGCCGCCCGCGTGGCCCGGCGTCCCCCGGCGGGCCGCGCCGCTCGCGCGCGAGACGCGCGACGACCGCGCGTCGCCCTGGGACGGCGCCGTCACGATCGAGCCCCGGGCTTTGGTCGTCGCGCGCCGGGGCCACGTGCTCCTCTCCGCGGACCTCGCGCAGAACGAGCTCCGCGTCGCCGCGCAGCTCTCGGCCGCGTGGCATTCGACCGCCGGTTTCGGCGGTCCCGACCAAACTTGAGCATTCTCTCGCTCGATCACATCGAAGTCGATTCGGCTGATTTTTGCACGAATCGATGGCTCTCGTCGAGTTCTCGAAGCACGGCCGAAGAGCTTGCGTCGAACCTGTCGCACATTGAAGTCGGGTCGAAGATTTGATTTCCGCGCAGGCTCTCGGGCGACGGCGCGCTCCGCCGGTGCTTCGCGGACGACGCCGACGACCCCTTCGTCGACGTCGCGCGCGCGCTCCGCGTCGCCGGCGCGACGGCGACGTCGGACCGCGCCGCGGCGAAGCAGGTCGTCTACGGCGTGCTCTACGGCCAGTCCACTCGCTCCGTCGCGCGCGCGCTCGGCGCGGACATGGACGCGGCCGCGGGCGCCGTCGGGGCCGTGCGGCGCCTCTTCCCGCGCCTCGAGCGCTACCGGGCGACGGTCGCGGCGGACGCGGCGCGCGACGGCTTCGTCGAGACGCTCCTCGGCAAGCGGCGCGCGCTGCCGCGGATCACCGACGCGGACCGGAAGAGGCGGTCGCGCGCGGAGCGCCAGGCGCTCTCCACGGCCGTCCAGGGCTCCGCCGCGGACCTCGTCAAGCGGGCCATGGCCGAGACCGTCGCGGCCTTCGCCGACCGCCCGCCGGCGACGAAGCCCCACCTCGTCATCCAGCTCCACGACGAGCTCATCTTCGAGACGCCCGAGGCCGCCGCGGCGTCGAACGCGGCGCTCGTCGCGACCGCGCTCGAGGCCGGGCTCGACGACGTGCCGACCAGGGTCAAGCTCAAGGTCGGGCCGACCTGGGCCGACCTCGAGGACCTGTAAGTGGCCGTCCAGACGGGTCTGTTGTGATAGGCCTTGTGATTCGAGGTCGCAAGCGCGAGGTCGCCAAGGTCCTGGCGTCTGTGGCGGGCCTTGAAGAAGTCGAGAGACAAAATGGCTACGCTTGTGCGCGACAAAATGACCACCGCTTTGATCTGTGCCCTCGCCCTGGGCGCCGCCCGGGCCGCCGACCCCGTCGTCGGCCTCGCGCGCGAGGAAGGCTATGAGGCGGAGGTCGAAAGTTACGATTATGCCGCCGCATTAAAGGCCAAGCTCCTCGAGCACTACGTCAGGGACCAGTGTCGGCGCCTAGATGCTTACGTAGGCGCCGCTTTTGACGGGCTACCTTTGGTGCCGACGCGCCGCTGACCTCCGCGCCCGCGCAGGTCAAGGAGATCGCGCCGCCGCGCTTCGGCACGGAGCGCGGCGTCCGCGTCGCCGTCCAGCTGTCCCTAAGCCAGCTCAGCGATGTGAACGTCGCGCGGCAGGAGGTCGAGTTCTACTCCTGGTGGCGCCACTCGTGGCGCGACCCGCGACTTCAGTGGGACCCCGACGACTGGGGCGGCGTCGCGGAGCTGAGCTTCGTCGGTCGGGGGGAGCACCAGGAGGCGTGGATGCCCGACGACCTCGTCTACGAGGCGACGTCGAGCGTCTACCAGCTGCCGGAGATCCTCGTCAACGCGTACGCGTCGGGTTCCGTCCTGTGTGGAATTCAAATCTTCAACCCGACTTCAATGTGCGCATATGCGACAAGTTCGACGCAAGCTCTTCGGCCGTGCGTCGAGAACTCGACGAGAGCAATCGATCCGTCCAAAAATCAGCCGAATCGACTTCGATTTGAATGAGATAGAGAGTTCTGAAGTTTGGCGGGGACCCCCCAAACCAGTGGTTGATTTCCACGCAGGTTCCGTCTTCGTGAGCCACCCCGTGCATCAAATCGTGCCGTGCCCCATGGACCTCCAGCACTTCCCCTTCGACGAGCAGGAGTGCGAGTTCACCTACGGGTCGTGGATGAACCACGGCTGGCTCGTGGACACGCAGCCCTACGGCTCGGAGGACGACGGCTGGGCCGCGTTCGTCTTCGGCGAATTGTTCGAGGCGAACACGGAGTACGACCTCGTCGAGGTGCGCAGCGAGCACGGCGACAGTTGGCTGCTGCGTCGAGCCCTACCCGACGATCTCCTACTCGTTCAAGGTGCGCCGCCACGCGCGGACCTACGTGTCCGGCATCCTCCTGCCGATGGTCCTCGCGACCTACGCGGGCTTCCTCGCCTTCGCGGCGAACCCGGACTCGGGCGAGCGCATCGGCCTGGGCATCACGGTCATGCTCACGAACGCGGCCATCAGGGCAGCACAAGAGAGCGAAATTCCCAACTTCAAAGGCTCATATCTCGGCCGTTTTCCACTCGTTTCGGCTGATTTTTGGACGAGCGATCATCTCTCGGAACGGTCTCGAAGCGTGGATGTTTTCCCCGTAACGCGCGCGCGCGGAACACTCACGTGGAAGCGACGTTGAATCACCCTTGTCCTGCCCAGGCGGCCATCTACATCGTCGCCTTCGAGGTGCTCCCCAAGTCGTCGGAGGACACGGCGATCACGATGATCCACATCATCTCGTTCATCTTCTCGCTCGCGACGCTCGCCGTGTCCGTCGTGTCCGTCAGCCTCTACTCCGTGAAGACGAGCACGGGCGTCATGAGCGAGCAGGAGCTGCTCATGGCCTTCGTCCGCGCGGACGGCGACCACTCGGGGTCGCTCGACAAGGACGAGATCGAGCAGGCCGTCGCGAAGCTCGGGCTCCCGCCCGTCGTCAACGAGCGGCTCCGCGCCGCGCTCGACGAGGTCGACGCGGCGATCACGCTGCCCATCTGGTACGACATGGTCGGCGAGCTCTACAAGACCGACGGCGTCGCCGCGTTCCACAGCCCGATCATCGGCTGCTTCCTCCGGCCCTTCCTGCGCTGGGAGCGGCGCGCGCGCAAGCAGATCGTCCTGCGCCGCATGGCCGCGGCGGCGCGCGACGGCCGCATCTCGAAGCGCGTGCTCGAGAGCACGCGGCAGCACCAGCTCGCGCGGCGCGACTCGACGAAGCTGTCCGGCCTCCGGGGCTCGTTCTCGCGCGCCGGGCCGTCGCTGAGCCGCGCCGCCATCGTCGAGGAGCTCCCGGAGCTGCCGAGCGACGGGTCCGCGGCGTCGCCCGCGCGGACCGGCGCCGCGGGCGACGACAAGGGCGCGCTCGAGGCCATCATCACGCAGTACGAACTGAGCGACCCGTCGTCCGTCATCGCGCGCAAGATCGCGGGATACCTCGACATGTTCGGCTCCATCCTGCTCCCGGTCCTCTACACGGCGCTCATCATCGCGGTGCTCGCGTCCTACGGCAACGTGCTCGACACGACCGCCGTCGGCGACTTCGACGGCACGCGCATCACCCACGCGTTCAACGGCACGACGGAATCCTCCTGCTGCTGCGGCGACTGAGGCGGTCAAGATCGAAGCACGACGACATATTCCTGCGGCGACTCAGCGGTCACTGGCAGCCTCCTGGCGGTCAGTAAGCGTAAGGGGGCCCTGCACAACGGTGCGTGCCGCGGTCCCCGGCCACGTCCCCGGCCCGTGCCCGGGCCGTGCCCGGGGCCCCGTGCCGGGCCCGTGCCGGGCCTCCCCGGCCCGTGCCCGGCCCGTGCCCGGGGCCCGTGCCGAGTGCCGGGCCCGTGCCGGGCCGCGTGGCCCGTGCCCGGCCCGTGCCCGGGGGCCCGTGCCGAGTGCCGTGCCGCGTGCCGGGCCCGTGCCGGGCCGCGTGCCCGGAGCGCATTTACCGTGCCGGAACCCCCGTGCCCGCCGTCCCCGGCCCCCGTCCCGGGGCCGGACCGTCGTGCAGGGGCCCGTAGCGTAATTTCTTAATTTCTTTTCGACAACTTGACTTCAACCTTGAGCTCTGGAGCCAACTGGCAGGCTGGACGCCATCTCGGCCGCCGAGCGCGTCGCGCCGAGCACGTCGTGCCGCAGCCGCCCTGCGCGCGCATCGAGCGCGACGCGTCTCTCCGCCCGATGAAGCGGTCGCGCCTCTACGCGCCGCCGCAACCCAGCATCGACGAGGGCGGCGAGGCGAAGACGGCGGCCATCTTCGCGGCGCACCACGAGTTCGTGCGCGACGACGCGCGCGACGGCGCGTCGAAGCGCTGGGAGACGCGCATGGCGCGGCGCTACTACGACGAGCTCCACAAGGAGTACGCGATCTGCGACCTGTCGCGGTGGCGCGACGGCGCCGTCGGCCTGCGGTGGCGGACCGAGGCCGAGGTGCTCCGCGGCAAGGGCGAGCGGACCTGCGCGGCCCGCGGCTGCGACGCGGCGGACGGCCTCCGGTCCTACGAGCTGCCCTTCGACTACGAGGAGCGCGGCGAGGCGAAGCGCGCGCTCGTCAAGGTCCGCGTCTGCCGGGCCTGCGCGAAGAAGCTCCGGCCGCGCGCGGGCGGCGGCTCCGACGACGGCTCGGACGAGGACCGGAAGAAAAAGAAGAAGACGAAGCGCACGAAGAAGAAGCGGCGGCGCGACGCGTCCCCGTAATCGTTTTGCGTCGTTAGGCGGGCGCCGGCCGCCGGGCCTTGGCGGGCGACGCGCTCGGGGACGCGTCGGGCGACTTGGCGTCCGGGTCCGCGAGGCCGCGCTCGAGGGCCCACGCGTGCCACCAGCGGAGCGCGTGGTCGCGCGGCGGCGCGTTGGGCCGCACGCGGCGGAGCACGAAGAGCGCGTGCGCGTCCGCCGTGTAGTCGCCGACGCCGTAGAGGCCCGCGACGGTGTGCGTCTCGAGCGGCGCGGCGTCGCGGTCGCCGCCGGGCCGGCGGCGCCGCGCGGCGAGCCAGTCCGCCGCGAGGCGCTGGAGCCGCTGCGCGCGCTTCCGGTGGAGCCCCAGGGGCCGGAGGATGGCCTCGAGCGCCGCCGTGCGCGCCGCGTCGCCCGCGGCCGCCGCGCACGCCTCCGCGTCCGGGAAGCGGTCGAAGAGGCGCCAGAGCACGGCGTCGACCTGCTGCCGCGTCGTCACGTTGAGCATCATGCAGGCCGCCAGCAGCTTGAACTCGTCGTGCCACAGGATCTCCTCCAGGAGGCCGAAGGGCGACCGCCGCGGCGGCGGCCGCCGGCCGGGCGCCGCCGCGAGCGCGAGGCGCGCCGTCCGGTCGACGCCGCCGTCGAAGTCGTCGCCGGCGGACGCCGCCGGGGCCTCGGCGAAGTGGCGGCTCGCGACGCGGTCGCACCGGTCGTCGGCGGCCTCGTCCCACATGGCCGCGCGGAGCTCGCCCGTGAGCGCCCCGAGGTCGAGGCGGTCCATCTGGGGCTTCGTCAGCCGCACGCCGCTGCCGCCGTGCGACGCGCGGGGCCAGCACGGCGCGTCCTCGTGGACCTCGAGCGCGTCGAGCACGTCCGCGGCGCTCAGCGGCTCGGACGAGCCGGGCGCGAAGAAGACGACGGCCCAGCCGAGGCGGCCCGTCGGATCCGCGACGACGCCGCCCCGCCAGCCGTCGAGCGCCGACGCGTCGCCGCGCGCGGCCTGGACGCGGCGCCGCAGCTCGAAGAGCTCGCGCGCGGGCTCGTGCTCCCGGTAGTAGCACAGGTGGGGGCAGAGGTGCTCGCAGTTGCCCGTGCGGCGGTAGGTGCAGCAGCGGCTCCGGAGCTCGTCGGCGGTCTTCGCGGGCGGCGGCGCCGCCTCGTCGCCGTCGTCGCCGTCGCCGCCGCCGTCGTCGCCGTCGTCGTCGTCGAGGCGGGGCACGCCCGTGCGGAGCTCGCGCAGGCGCCGCCGCTCGCGGCGCCGCTTCTTCTCCTCGCCCGCGCGCGCGGCGGCCGCCGCGCCGGCCGGGTCGAGGCGCTTCTCCTCGCGGGCGCAGCGCCGCCGGAGCGCCGTCAGGCTATCGCGGCAGGCCTTGACGCCCGCGCTCCGCTGGCGCACGCGGCAGGAGAAGTTGATGTGGAGCCGGCGGAGGTCGCGGGCCAAGGCGCGCGCGACGTCGCCCAGGCCGGCGGCGTCCGCGGCCGGCGCGGCCGCGGCCTCGAGGCCCGCGAGGACGACGGACGCCGTCGCCTCCTGGTCGCCGAAGGCGTCGTTGCCCTGCTGCTGCGCCGCCGCGAGGAAGTAGGGCAGCGCCGCGGCCGCGGCGCCCCCGGCGCGCGCGGCGGCCGCCGCGGCGCCCGCGGCCGCCGCGAGCGGGCCCGGGGCCGGCGGCGCGGCCGCCGCGACGAGCGGCGCCGGCGCGGCCGGCGCGGGCCGGCGCCGCGCGGGGCTCCGGGGCCGCTTCGCGCCCGGCGAGGCGTGGCCGAAGGCCTTGGCGGCGACCTCGCGCCGCGACCGGTAGCGCCCGGCGGGGCCCGCGTAGTAGACGTCCCTCGTCCCCGCGGTCTTGCCGCCGCGGCGCGTCTCGACGCGCACGGTCCAGCCCAGGACATCGTCGCAGGCGGCGACGCCGCGGTCCGCGAGGTAGCCGCGCAGGTTCGCGAGGAGCCGCGCCTCCTCCGAGGGCCGCGCGGCCGGCGGCGGCGCCGCCACTGGCGGTCGCGCCGCCACTGGCGGGCGCGCGGGCGCCTCGAGCGGTTGCGGCGGCGCCGCTGGCGGTCGCGCGGGCGCCTCGAGTGGCGGCGGCGACGGTGCCTCCCAGTCGCTGTCCGACGAGTCCGCGGCGTCGTCCTCCGAGGCCGCCGACTCGTCGCTCTCCTGGGACGGCGAGAAGAAGGGCGACCGGTACACGACGCGCGGCGCCGCCGCCGGTTTGTGCTTCTTTTTTGGTGATGGCGGTTGCGTTGCGAAGTAGGGCGAGCGCGTTGGCGCGCTGTTGGTCACGCTCTCCATGCTCTCTCAGGCCTTCATCCACTTCATCAAAAGTGAAGATATATTAACTTCTTCAAACAACATTGGTTCTTGTTAATCGATGGATACTAGCCCTGATTTCGTGCAGCATTTCGCTTGTCGATGTCGATGGACGGACAACTTTCGACACGGCATTCGGCATGTTCCAGCCCACAGGGGGAGAAAACGAGCTTACATCGCCGTAGGAACTCGGGGGCGGAGATTCCAAAACCCCAGTCTGATCCTCGCGGGGACGCGCAGAAGCTGAGATCATTAGGGCCCGCGCAGCGCGCAGGACGTGGAGCCCGCCGCGCTCGAGAACCACAATGCGCTATGGCAACTCCTTCGAGATGGAGCCGCGTCGTGAGGGTCCGCCGCAGCTGCCAGGAGGACTTGCTATAGGGTTGCCCATGTGCTGCGGACGCGCGACGCGGAGGCAGCCCGCAGTGTGAGATCTAGTGTCCGCAGTTGGGCGGACGAAAGATCAATCGGCAGCCGTCGATAGATATGTTTCGCGCGCTCGTTGGGGGAACTTTTTTGATAAAGTGGATGAAGGCCTCTCTCGATTCAAGCGCTGTGGCAAGTCTAGGTTGCCGCTGCGCCGCGCCCCGCGGGTGCGCGTCGCGCGCGAACCTCGGTACGACTTGATCGAGCGCGCTGCGAGGGCCGTGCCGCCACATCCTCCTCCCCAGCTTCGAAGGATACGGTGTGCGACCTATGCCGCGGTGTCCGCGCCACGCGCGGTCGCGCCGGGCTCGCCGTGTGAACCGCAGCCATCGGCGACGCCGCGGCTATCAGACCTTGGGGCTCGAATCGCTTGGCGCCGCAGCTAGCGCGCGGCGCCACGACCCGGTTTCACGGCAGCTTCAAGTTTCCTTCAATATCAAATGCGCCGCCACGGCTAGCCAACTCGCATCGGGCGACCAGAGGAGCGGCCGCCGTGGACATCCGCCGCCGTTCGGGCTCGCGTTCGCCGCCTTTGGCCCCCCGCCGCCCCCTCGCCGTCTCGCGCGCCGCCGCGCCGCCGCGGCTCAGTCCGCGCGGCCTCCCTCCGGGGGCGCCGGCGGCGAGATGGAACCGCCGAAGGAGGAGAAGGTGGAGAACGAGGCCAAGGCCGAGGGCGACATCGCCCCCCACGAGGAGGTCGTGGAGAAGAGCCCCCGGGAGCGCTACCTGCGCTTCAAGGACCTCATCGGCAAGGGCAGCTACAAGGAGGTCTGGCGCGCGCGCGATTCCGGCGCCCGCCGATTCGAATCGCCGCGCGGCCGCGCCGCGCGCCGCGCGCGGGCCGGGGCCCGCCCCCGGCGCGGCGCCGCCCGCGGCCGCGACGCCGCGCGCCCCGCCCCCGCCCGGGCCGCCGAGAAACCCGACCGCGCGCGCCGCGCAGGTACGACTCCGTCGAGGGCATCGAGGTCGCGTGGAACGTCGTGAATTTGAAGACCATGCCCCCCAACGAGAAGGCGCGCGTCATCAACGAGGTGCGGCTGCTGGACCGCCTCGAGCACGAGAACATCATCGACTTCCACGGGAGCTGGGTGAACCGCGAGCGCGGCGAGGTCTGCTTCATCACGGAGATCCTGAGCTCCGGGTCGCTGAAGAAGTTCATCAACAAGGTGCAGGTCGTGCGCTGGAAGATCATCAAGCGCTGGGTGCGCCAGATCCTGAAGGCCCTGGCCTACCTCCACAGCCAGACGCCGCCCATCATCCACCGCGACATCAAGTGCGAGAACATCTTCATCAACGGGTCGACGGGCGACCTCCGCATCGGCGATTTGGGGTTGTCGACGGCGAAGAAGGTCAACGAGGGCAAGGGCCAGTCCGTGCTCGGCACGCCCGAGTTCATGGCGCCGGAGCTCTACGACGAGGAGTACGACGAGAAGGTCGACGTCTTCGCGTTCGGCATGTGCGTCCTCGAGATGATCACGAAGCAGCTGCCCTACTCGGAGTGCACGAACGCGACGCAGATCTACCGCAAGGTCTGCGGCAACGTGCCGCCGGACGCGCTGCGCCTCATCCCCGACGACAAGGCCCTGGACTTTGTGAAGGGCTGCATCCAGAAGGACCCGGCGGAGCGTTTGGGCGCCGCGGAGCTCCTCAAGCACGACTTCCTCGTGCCGGACCCGAACTTCGGGGAGACGGAGGTGCGCCTGCGGTCGCCGAGCGACCTGCCGCCCATCGCGGACCGCCAGGCGGGCCGGTCCCAGGGCGCGGCGTCCGTCGAGACGCGCGACTCCGGCGGCGCGGGCTCGACGCTCGGCTCCGAGTGGTCGCCGCCCAAGGAGGGCAAGGCCGAGGCCTTCCCCGCGGAGCTTGTGCCGGCCGCGCCGGCGCCGGCGGAGGGGGAGCCGGCACCGGCGCCACCGGAGCCGGCCGCGGCGCCCGCGGAGCCGGCACCGGCGCCCGCGGCGCCCGCGCCCGCGCCCGCGCCCGCCGCGGACAAGGCCGCGTCCCCGCCGGCGGCGTCGTCGCCGTCGACGACGGACACGGAGAGCGGCGTCTCCGGCCTCACGCGCAACGCGAACTCGGCGTCCGTCGACACCATCGACGACGCGCGCCTCGACGGCTGGCCCCTCAAGACGGCCGACTCCATGAACTCGCTCGCGTCCTGCGACCTGAGCCCGCGCACGCCCGGCCACGGCTCCGGCGCGACGTCCAAGGCGCCGTCGCCCGCGCCGTCGGGCCGGTCCGCCGGGTCGCCCGCGGACGACGACGAGAGCTTCATCAACAACATGCAGCAGTCCGAGTTCGCCATGAAGGACCACAAGGTCCGCGTGCGCGAGGGCCGCCAGAAGCGGTCGAACACGGAGGAGGACGGCGTCGGCTGGGCCGGCGAGGGCCGCGCGGCGGCCGCGGAGCCCGCGCGGCCGCGGCCGCGCGACGCGTCCCAGGAGAGCGCGCGGTCCGCGTCGTCCCAGCCGCGGACCGCGGCGCCGCCGTCGCGGCGGCCGTCGTCGGAGTCGCTGCCCGCGGCGCCCGCGGCGGCCGACGGCGAGAACCACGACAGAGACGCGTGCGACGCCGAGGTCATGGGCCCGCCGCCGCCGCGCGCGCCGAGCCAGCAGAGGCTCAACGGCGCGGCGCCGCCGTCGCGGTCGCCGCCGGCGCCGCGGCGCGACTTGGCGGACTCGGCGTCGGACGCGTCGCGGCCGCCGACGCCCGTGCAGCAGCCCCGGGCGGCGGACGGTCTCCGGCCGCCGACGCCCGTGCAGCAGCCCCGGGCGCCGGACGCGCTCCGGCCGCCGACGCCCGTGCAGCCCCGCGAGCCGTCGCGGTCGCCCGTGCCGTCGCGCGCCGCGAGCCGCGCGTCGTCGCCGCGCCACGGCGCCGCGGACGGGCCCGACGCGCCCGAGGCGCCCGTGGACGCGTCGCCCGCGGCGGCGCTCGCCGCGCTCGTCGACGAGCAGCGGCCGCCGGCGGCGCTCGCGGACCTCGCGGAGCCGCGGCCGCCGGCGGCGGCCGCGGAGGCGCCCGCGCGGCAGGCGACGCCGCCGCCGCCGCCGCCGGCCGCGCGCTTCCGCATGCTCCCGTCGACGGTGCCCCTGGGCCCCGTCGTCGACGGCGTCGTCACCGTCGACATCCGCTACGCCTACGACGGCATCGAGGGACGTCGCCGTCGAGTTCGCGGGCGAGTGCGGCTACGGCCCGGCGAGGTCCAGCCCTTCGCCGAGTTCCTCCAGACCGTGCGGGGCGCCGTGCGCCTCCGGCGCGAGAAGGCCGCGGCGGCGCCCGCGCCGGCCGCGGCCGCGCCCGCGGCCGCGGAGCCCGCGGCGGCGCCCGCGGCGGCCGCGGAGCCGCCCGCGGCCGCGGAGCCGGCCGGCGACGGCGCGCCGGAGGCGGACGCGTCCGACGACGACTCCGAGGACGAGGACGCGCGCGCGAAGCTCGTGCAGGAGCACGCGAAGCTCCGGAACCGCGCGCAGCACATCCACGAGGACCGCATGCTCAAGCTCCACGCGTCGCGCGACGCCTGCGAGACGTCCGCGAAGCTCGTCCGGGAGGAGTTCGAGAAGAAGCAGCGCGACTTCGAGAAGCTCCAGCGCGAGCACGACCGGAAGCAGAAGGAGCTCGAGGCCGCGCGCAAGGACGCGCGCGTGCACCACGAGCGCCAGCTGAAGAAGTTCGACAAGGACCTCCGCGACTTCGCGCACAAGGAGAAGATCGAGCACGAGAACCACGCGAAGCGCCTCGTCACGCTCGACGACCAGCACCGGACGGAGGCGGACGAGCAGCGGCGGCAGCGGCGCGAGGGCCGCCGCGCGGGCCTCGCCGAGGAGGAGACGGCGCGCCAGCGCGCGCGCGAGGCCGAGGCCGACGCCGAGGTCGAGACGGAGCGCCACCGCGCCGCGCGCGCGGCCGCGCTCGCGCTCGCGGCCGCGGGCACGGGCATGGACCGGCCCCTCGAGGCCCTCGACGGCCTCGCCGCGCCGCTCCCGGCGCGGGGCGCCAACCCCCAGGCGACCTAGCCCCCGTTACCTGAAATTCACTGTCTCTTTTTTGGGGGAAACTGAGTTTCGTTGCGGCCGACGGAGCCGCGACGTTGAAGATGGTCAGCGGCCGCTCGACTTTGGGCAGCCCCATGGGACCGTAGCGTGCACGACCGGCAGCCTCGACGCGGCGGCTCGCGACGCGCCATGGGCTCGGGCGCGTCCAAGGCCAAGGAGGCGCTCGAGGAGGGGACCGACATCAGCGACACCTACCCCAACGGCCCGCTCGACGACGCGCCGGCGCGGCTGCTCGTCGCCTTCGGCAACGGCGAGCCGGCGGTGTTCACGAAGCGGCCCGCGGCCTGGAACCGCAAGTGCATGTACGCCGACGACGGCGACCTGAAGCTCTTCTACCGCGCGTGCGTCGGCTGGGTCTTCGACGCGCGCGCGCCGGCCGAGTGCGAGGCGGCGGGCGACGACTGGGCCGTCGAGAGCAAGGGCTGGATCGGCCTCATCGACGGCGGGCCCGCCTTCCCGCCGCTGGGGCCCGAGGTGAAGCTCCACGACGGCGCGGCCAAGTTCGTGTCCGTCGTCGATTTGGACGGCCCGCCGCCGCCGCACGCGCTCGCCGTCTTCTGCCACCCGAGCGAGCGCGCGTGCGGCGCCTACGCCACGGTCGGCGACGAGGCGACGCGGAGCGGCTTCCCGAAGTACCGCAACGACCGGGGCTGGACGCTGGCCTACGACGGCGGCGGCTGGGCGTTCTCCAGCGGCGTGTCCGCGGACGAGCGCGACGGCGGCTGGGTCGGCCCCTTCTGCTGGAGCCACCCGCCGATGGGCGACACCGTGCGGCTCAACGGCCTCGACGAGGCCTTCGTCTTCGGGGAGGCGACCGTGGTGATCCGGACCGTCGGGGGCCCGGACGACCCGCCGCCGCCGAGCCCCCGGGAGGCCGTCGACGACGCTCGGGCGACGCCCGCGGCCCCAAAGCCCGCGTCGCCGAAGCCCGCGCCCGCGCCGCTGCCGAAGCACGACAGACCCGCGACGCCGAAGTCGAAGGCGACGGCGCAGCTCGACGGCTTCTCGGACGCCATCGACGCCGTCGACCTGTCGCTCTCGGCGAAGATCGTCGACGAGCTCCTCACGCAGATCGTCTGCCGCATCGACGGCGTCGACACCTGCGGCGACGCGTCGCTCCGCGAGTACCGCAAGGGGCTGATCAAGCGGATCGACGCGATCACCGCGAGCCTCACCTCGAAGATCCAGTACGACCAGCCCGAGAAGCCGCCGCCCGCGACGCCGACGGCCGCGGCCCTCTCCGTGGACGCGCCCGCGGTGGAGGGCGCCGCGGGGTAAGCGTATACAGAGCGTATCGGGCTGCGCTTGAAGTCTCAATTGAACTTCACCTTCAATCTCAGGATGGTGCACTTGAGGCCGTCGCACGAGCCGATGGCGCGGCTCCGAAGCGGGATGAAGGCGGCGCTCCTCCTCGTCTCAACAGCCCACGCGGTCCTCGAGGCGCCCCGGCGGTCGGCGCCGGCGCCGCCGTCGCCGCCCGAGCTCAAGAAGCCGTCGATCCTCGCGCCCATGCCCGACACGCGGCCGGACTGGTTCCGCGCCAAGGCGCCCAGGGGCGACGGCTCGCGCTACGCCGAGCTGCGCGAATCCCTGGCGGGTCTGAAGTTGAACACGGTCTGCGACGAGGCGTCGTGCCCCAACGTCGGCGAGTGCTGGGAGGGCGGCACGGCGACGATCATGCTGTTAGGCGACACGTGCACGCGCGGGTGCAAGTTCTGCGACGTCAAGACGGACGCGAAGCCGCCGCCGCCCGACGAGCTGGAACCGTTGTCGGCGGCGGCGGCGGTGACGTCCTGGGGCGTCGACTACATCGTGATGACGTCCGTCGACCGCGACGATCTGCCGGACGGCGGCGCGGGCCACTTCGCGCGGACCGTGAAGCTCCTCAAGGAGATGCAGCCGGAGCTGCTCGTGGAGTGCCTCGTGTCCGACTTCGCGGGAGATTTGGCGCCCGTGGACCTGCTGGCGACGTCGGGCCTCGACGTCTACGCGCACAACGTCGAGACCGTCGACCGGCTCCAGCGCTACGTCCGGGACAGGGCGGCAAAAGGGTGATTCAACGTCGCTTCAACGTGAGCGTTCCGCGCGCGCGCGTTTCGAAAACAGCACCCACGCTTCGAGAGCGCTCCGAGAGATGATCGCTCGTCCAAAAATCAGCCGAAACGAGCGGAAAACGACCGAGATAGGAGCCTTTGAAGTTGGGAATTCCGCACCCTTTTGCTGCCCAGGTCCGGGACCGCCGCGCGACGTACGCGCAGTCGCTCCGCGCGCTGGAGCGCGCCAAGGTCGCGGCGCTCGCCGGCGCGCCCCATCCCGTGCTCACGAAGACGTCGCTCATGCTCGGGCTCGGCGAGACGCGGGACGAGCTGCGGACGGCGATGGGCGACCTGCGGAGCCACGGCGTCGACGTCGTCACCTTCGGGCAATACCTGCGCCCCAGCGAGCGCCACCTGAGCGTCGTCGACTACGTGCGGCCCGAGGTCTTCGACGAGCTCAAGGACGAGGCGGAGCGCGACTTCGGCTTCGAGTACTGCGCGTCCGGCCCGATGGTGCGATCGTCCTACAAGGCCGGCGAGTTCTACCTCGCGAACCTCCTCAAGAAGCGCGCGGCGGACCCGGCCTACGCGCTCCAGGTCGCGGAGCCGCTGACGAACTAACACACAGGGGTCGTTAGAAGCAGAGGGACATGGCTAGAAGGGCACGCAGGTCCAGTCCTCGGACGGGTCCAGCCGGCGGCCGCGGCGCCGCGCGTCGTCGACGCCGCACTCGAGGCGCGGGATCTCCGACGAGATGGCCTGGAGGACCTGGTCGTAGACGTAGCACGCCGCCTGGCCCTTGGCGCCGTAGTTGGACCCGAGGGAGTTCGAGCAGTTCATGCCGACGGCGGAGCCCATCGCCAGGGTGATGGAGAAATTCAGCGCGGGGTTGAAGCCGTTGATCTCCGCGAGGCTCCCGTAGTCCTCGCCGCCGTGGCCCACGAGCGTCGCGACCCGCGACCAGTTGCCCGACCGCTCCTTGTAGCCCGAGAGCATCGCGCCCAGGCCGTACTCGAGCCCCACCGACCAGCCGACGGTCAGCGGCGCGAAGGCCGTCATCGCCCGCCGCGCGTCCGCGGACACGAGGTCCTCGGATGTGAAGAGCGCGTACCAGAAGCTCGCCAGGTCGCTCGGCGTCGTCAGGATGTTGCCCATGGCCCAGCCGTTCAAACAGCTGTCGTCGATGATGTCGAAGAAGCCGTAGCGCCGGCGCCGCTCGTCGAAGGCGGGCGCGTACTCGTGGATCGCGCCGGCGTCGGCGCAGGAGCCCGAGGTCGGGAAGGACGTCGCCGCGAAGTCCGCGCCGTTGGAGCGGTCGCCGAGGGCCGCGGCCTTTTGGTCGAAGCCGTCCCAGGTCGCGGCGCCCGCCGCGTCCGCGAGGGCCAGGCCCGCCAAAACGTAGCCCACGGACGAGTAGGCGCCGCAGGTGCCCGGCTGGCACAGCAGCGTGTGGTTCGCGTCGAGCACGATGTCCAGGGGCTCGTAGTCGGTCGCGTTCTCGGCGAACACCTTGGACCGAAACAGCTCGTCGTCGTAGTCCTGGACGCCGGCGCGCATGCTCAGGAGTTCGCGGAACGTGATGGCGTCGGTCCCGTAGAGCTGCTCGAGGGATGTGTTCTCGAGGAGCTTGTCGACGTGCGGCGCCGCGGGCCCGTCGAGGTCGATGGCGCCGGACGCGTTCGCCCGCAGCGCCGCGACGGCCGTCCAGGTCTTCGTCGCGGACCCGAGCGGGAATTTCGACGCGGTGGTCATCCTCGTGTTCGCAGTGCGGTCGTCGTCGCCGCTCGCGGCCGCGAAGGTCGACGCTTCGTCGCTGCCCCAGCGGATGGCGAGCGAGAAGGACGTGTTGAAATAGGCCGCCACGCCGTCGAGCTGCGCCTGGAGCCCGGCGAAGGGGTTCGCCGCCTCGAGGGACCGGCGCGCCTCGCGGACGTCGACGGCGGGCGCCTCGCGGACGTCGACGGCGGCCGCGGCGGCGCACAGAACGAGGATGATCCGCCACATCGTGAGGGCTGCCCTTCGTGGGGCGATAATGAAGCACGTTGAATAGGTGAGTTGAAGCAACTGATAAAAAAGAAGAATCCCCGGTGCCCAGGAGGGTATCACGACCCACCGCGCTGTTATGAACGCTATCGCAGGTGGCGGCGCAGCGTCGCGTTCGCCGCGGCGAGGCGGCCGCCGAGGTAGACCGCGTCGATGTCGCGGAGCGTCGCGAGGCGGCCCGCGCGCTCCGCGTCGGGCCCGTTGCGGTGGCTGCCGGCGTCGCGGGCCGTCGCGGAGCCGTCCTTCTTCGACGCGACGAAGGTCGACTCCGGGCCGCACGCGTCGAGGAACGCGCGCTCGACGGCGCCGGCCGCGAGCGGCGCCGCGAGCCGATCGACGTCCGCGAGGCGGAAGGCCCGCGCGATGCGCCGGAACGCGCCGGGCAGGTCCGCCATGATGTCGTCGAGCAGCAGCGTCGTGCAGTGGGCGCCCTGGGCGCCGCAGTCGACGGCGGCCCTCACGACGTAGGGCACGTCGCGGTGCAGCGACCGCAGCGCTTCGAAGAGGAGGCCGTCGCGGAGGGAGAAGCGGCCGAGCGCGTCGGCGTAGGTCTCGTTCCGCCGCGGCGGCTCCGCGGGCGCGGCGCCGAGCGCCTCCGAGGCGCACGCGGCCGCGGCCGCCGGCGAGCCCGCCGCCGCCGCGAACGCGCGGAACGCGGCGCCCTCGCCCTGGTACTGCTTGCCCGGCGGCGCGCCGTCGAGGGCCACCCGCGTCCAGGTCTCGGGCCCCGTGCGGTGGTAGCGGTAGCCGCTGTCGACGAGCACGAACGGGTCCCGCGCGAAGTTGACCTGGAAGAGGTAGGCGTCGCGGCCGAAGCCGCCGGAGACGTGGCCGCCGCCGAGGGCCACGGGCTGGCCGAAGCGCTGCAGCACGGCGACGACGCACCGCGACAGGAACGTGCCCGTCTTGTGGTTCGACGCGACGACGAGCGTCGGTGTTGTTTTGGTGCCCGTGTAGTGGATGCTCGCGCTGGACAGTCGCCTCCGTCCTTCCGGAGGCGGCACCCAGAACGTCGAGCAGTTGCGCGCTGCAAATGCTGTTCCTGCTAGGAGCAGCAGCAACGCTGGGCTGCGTGTCATCTGTGATGCTGATTGGGTTCCATCGTGAAAATTATAATGTAGGGCAGCCACTAGGGTAACTAGCCTAGCAGGCTGCGCATCGATCCCACAGCTCTTCAACGATCCCCCCCGTCGCACTTACGCAATGAAGCTCTCGTTCCTCCTCTTCGGCGGCGCCGCGGCGCTCGCGCCCCAGCCGGTCAAGCGCGTCGACGGCGTCCAACGTAGAACGCAAAAAACTGGCCCGAAATAACCTTTGCGCCCGCTTCGCAGGCTCGACCGCCGCCAGGCCATGAAGACCGTCGCCGGCACCTTCGTGCGCCCCCGCGTCCGCTATACTCCTGCCGCGGCGCGTCCCGGGCCGGCCATCGCGCTGGCGCGGGACCGCCCCGCCGCCGCTTCCCCCCGCGCGCGCCGCCGCCGCCGCCGCCTCGGCTCGGAAATTCGCCGGCCCGGACGCGCGCGCGCGCCCGCCCCGCGACGCCTCACCGCCTCACCCCCCAGGCCGCCGCCGTCGCCGCGCCCCAGATCGCGTCCGCCGACGGCGCCGTGTCCGCCGCGACCGTCGCGCGGTCGCGCGGCATCTACGGCGGCCGCATCGCCGACCTCAAGGACGCCGTCGAGAAGGGCGACTTCGCGGCCGTGCTCGCGGAGAAGAACGCCTTCGACCTCTTCAACAGCGGCGCCTACGCCCAGAAGAGCGCCATCACCAAGGCCCAGAAGGCCATCGCCGTCACCGAGACAAAGAACATCATGGAGGCGATCGCGTCCAAGAACGCGAACCAGCTCAAGACGTCCTACGCCGCCTACATGAAGAACGCGGCCATCGACACCAAGCCCGTCGACGTGTCCACGGGCCAGGGCTACTCCAACGACTACGACTGGAAGGTCCGCACCAAGAAGGGCGCCATCTACCAGCGCTAGGCGGCCCCCGAGGCGGGCGCGGCCCGCGCGAGTTGGGGCGCCTCGCGCGGGGCTCCGGCGGCCCGAATGTTAAGCTCACTCTGCTACCCAGCGCCGGGGGCGCGCGCGGCCTCTTTGTCGAAAGGGCTGGAGTCGCGCGTTCGCGGCAAGTTTCGCGGCGTCCGCGCCGGTCGCCGCCCGCCGCGGGGCCGGCCGCCGGACCCGGGGAGAGCCGTCTCCGGTAAGCACTGGCCTTCGCGAGCGCCGCGCGCACGACCCGAGCTTCGCACTTAGCGCCGGCTTGCGTCGGCGGGCGGGGCATCTTGAACTTCAATCACTCGCTGGACTTTCTCCACTCAGCCAAGATTATGGCTGCGTTTTAAGCCGCCCTCCAGCGAGCGTTTCCAGCCTCCACACCAATGTATCTCTACCTCCTCGCGCTCGTCGTCTTATCGTGGGTCCTGCTGCGCCTGCGCCGCCGCGCGGAGCCCGTCGAGGCCCGCAGCGAGGACCCAGTGAAGAGCCCGCCCGCTGAGGACCCCCCGTCGACCGTCGTCCTCACGATCAACGGCGCCGTCCACTGCGTCGAGAACCCGAGCCCGTCGCTCACGCTCCTGGCCTACCTCCGGGACCGCTGCGGCCTCACGGCCGCCAAGGTCGGCTGCGGCGAGGGCGGCTGCGGCGCGTGCACCGTCGTCGAACACAACACGGACGCCATCAACGCGTGCCTGCGCCTCCTGTGCCAGTGCGACGGGTCCGTCATCACGACGGCGGAGGGCCTCGGATCGTCGCGGAACGGCTTCGGGGACATCCAGAAGGCCATCGCGGACGGCAACGGGAGCCAGTGCGGCTACTGCACGCCCGGCTGGACGACCGCCGTCGCCGCGCTGCGCGCGCGCGGCCCGCGGTCCCGCGGCGACCTGCAAAAAAAGCTCGACGGCAACATCTGCCGCTGCACGGGCTACCGGCCCATCCTCGAGGCCTTGGAGGGTCTGCCCGACGTCGAGGACGCGGCGCCGTGCCGCGACGTGACGACGGGCAGAGCCTGCGGGCGCGCGTGCGGCGCGCCGCCGTCGCGGGGCCTGAGCGTCGCCGACGACGCGCGACGCCTGAGCTACGTGGAGCCCACGAGTCTGCCGCGGCTCTACGCGCTTTTGGACGCGGGCCTCGGCTACGGCGAGACCGTCCTCGTCGGCGGCGCGACGGCGGCCATCGGCGTCGCCAAGTACTACGACGACTGCCTCGGCGCGCCCTGGGCCGGGGGCCTGCCCCCGCTGGAGGACGCGCAACTCGTGGCGACGAAGTCCGTGCCCGAACTGACGAAGCTCGCCGCCGCCGACGACGGCCTCGCGGCCGGCGGCGCCGTCACCATCGACGCGCTCTCCGCGGCGCTCCGCGGCGGCCTGGACGTGGCGTGGAACGCGGCGGCGGCGCACCTCGACCGCGTCGCGAACACGCAGGTGCGCAACAGCGCGACCTGGGCCGGGAATCTCGCGCTCGCGGCGCGCGCCGACGGCTTCCCCTCGGACGTCGCCGTTGCCCTCGCGTGCCTCGGCGCCGAGCTCTCCGTGTCGCGGCGCGACGGGAAGACCAAGCGTCGCCTGCAAAAGCTCGCCGTCGTCGACGTTTTAACCGGCTGGCGCGCGGGCGACGTCGTCGTCGAGCTCTTCGTGCCGCGGTCGCCCGCCGGGACGACGGCGCGCTGCGACAAGGTCGCCGCGCGCCACGCGAACGCGCACGCCTACGTCAACGCGGGCCTGAGCGTGCGCGTCGCCTCGGGCGTCGTCGCGTCCGCGCGGCTCTTCTTCGGCGGCGTCGCCCCGAGGACGAAGCTGTTCCGCGCGACGGCCGCGGAGGCCGCGCTCGCGGGCAAGCCCGTCGCCGACGCCGACGCGTTCCAGGCCGCCGTCGCCGCCTTGCGCGCGCAGCTCCCGACGGACGACGCGTACGCGACGGACTGCGCGGTGCAGCTGCTGTACAAGGCCTGCCTCCTCGCGCAGCCGTCGCTGCCGCCGCGCGTCGCCAACGCGCTCCGGTCCCTCGCGGCGCACCGGCCGCCGTCGTCGGGCGCGCGCGACGTCGCCGGCGCGTCCGACGGCCGCTACGCGCCGGCCTGCGCGCCGCGCGTCAAGCTCGCGGCGCGGCTCCAGGCGTCGGGCGAGGCCCGCTACGCGGCCGACGAGCCCCGGGCCTGCAACGAGGTCTCCGTGGCCTTTGCTTTCGCGAAACGGTCCGGGACGGTGACGGCCGTCGACGTGTCCGGCGCCGCGCGCGTGCTCGGCGCCGTCGCGGTTTATTCGCGCGACGACGCGCTCCGGGATTTAGTCGCCACGGAGTCGCTCGCGCTCGACGACGCCGACGACTTATTGCTCTGGGGCGTCGGCGACGACGTCTTCGTCGGGTGCCGCGTGGCCCTGTGCGTCGGGACGTCCGACCTCGCGGCGCTGGCCATGGCCCGGGCCGTGCGCTGCGCGACGGACGGCGGCGCCGGCGGCGCCGCGGCGCTGACGTCGGCGGAGTTGAAGGCCGCGCTCGCGGCCCACTTCTCGGACGACGGCTCCGGCAAGGGCCGCAAGCTCGGCCTCCGGCGCGGCGCGCTCCGCGTCGTCGACGACCACGTCGTCCTGAAAACGACATCGTCGACGACGACCGACGACCGCGTCGTCCTGAAAACGACGTCGTCGACGAAGACCGACGACCGCGTCGTCCTGAAAACGACATCGTCGACGAAGACCGTGTCCGGCGCCTTCGCGACGCCGCTCCAGAAGCACTTCCACATGGAGACGCACTCGGCGCGGTGCGTCCCCGGCGAGGGCTCCCGGCTGCTCCTGACGGCGTCGACGCAGGACCCGACGCTCACGCAGACCGTCACCGCGTCCTTGCTCGGCCTCCGGGCCGCGGACGTTGTGGTGGCGTGCCGCCGCGCGGGCGGCGGCTTCGGCGGGAAGCTGACGCTCCACCTGCCGGCGGCGACGTCCGTCGCGCTCGTCGCGGCGAAGCTGGGCGTGCCCGCGCGGTACCACGCGGACCGCCGCGACGACATGGCCATGACCGGCGGCCGCGAGGCGACGGCGTGCGACTACGAGGTGTCGTTCGACGCGGCGACGGGCGCGCTCGCGAGCTACGCCGCGACCTTCGCCGTCGAGGGCGGCCACGCGACGCAGGACGCCGTCGGCGACCTCTCCATGGCCGTGCAGTGGAGCGACAACTGCTACGACAGCGGCCGCCACGACGCCAAGGGCAAAGTGCTGAAGACGCGCGCGCCGCGGTCGTCGTCGATGCGGTCGCCGGGCGTCATCCAGTCGCAGTGCTGCCGGGAGCTCGCCATCGTGCGCGTCGCCCACGAGACGCGGCGGCCCGTCCACGAGGTGCAGGAGCTCAATTTTTACAAAGTCGGCCAGAAATTCCCCTACGGGTCCAAGCCTCTCGGGTCGCCGACGTTCAACTACACGATCCCCGAGCTCTACGCCGCTCTGAAGCCCAAATTACTGGCGCGCCTCGACGCCGTCGACCAATTCAACGAGGCCAACGCCTGGCGGAAGCGCGGCGTCCACGTCATGCCCACGAAGTACATCATGGCCATGGACTTCTGGAAGGTGCCGGCTCTCGTGAACGTCTACGGCGACGGGTCCGTGCAGGTCGCGCACGGCGGCTGCGAGCTCGGCCAGGGCATCCACACGAAGGTCGCCGCCGTGGCGGCGTATGCCCTGGGCTGCGATTTGTCTTTGGTGACCGTGGCCGACACTTCTACCGACAAGACGCCGAATTCGGTCGCCACGGGCGGCTCGGGCACGTCGGAGTCGTGCTGCGGCGCGACGCTCAAGGCCTGCGCGACGCTGAAAAAGCGTTTAGCGCCCTACGTCGCGAAGCACGCGAAATGGGCGGACGCCGTCGCCGCGGCGCTCGCGGACGCCGTCGAGCTCAGCGCGACGGGCTGGAACGACCTAAGGACGTCGGAAAGCGGCGACGACCCGGACTACGCGACCTACGGCCTCGCTTTGGCGGAGGTCGAGGTCGACTGCCTCAGCGGCGAGGTCGAGGTCCGGGAGGTCGACGTGCGCATGGACCAGGGCTCGAGCCTAAACTCGGACGTCGACGTCGGCCAGGTCGAGGGCGCCATAGTCATGGCGCTGGGCTTCTACCTCACGGAGCACTGCGCCGTCGACGCGTCGGGGAAGCAGTCGGGCGACGGCACCTGGGAGTACAAGCCGCCCATGGTCGCGGACGTGCCCCTCGACCTCCGCGTGTCCATGCTCGCGCGGACGCCGAACCCGTCGGCCGTGGCGGTCCTGGGGAGCAAGGCGTCGGGCGAGCCGCCCATGCAGCTCGCGGCGTCGGTCTTCTTCGCGCTCCGCGCGGCCGTCGCGGCGTTCCGCCGCGACGCGCTCGGCGACGCGGCCTGGTTCGACCTGCCGGTGCCCGCGTCGCCGAAGGCGATCCGCGCCGCGCTCGGGCGCCTCGACGACGCGGGCCTCGTCTTCGCGTGAGCGCGGTCTTTTTGTTATAGTTTGCTGCACACACGTTTTTTACCCGCCGGCGGCTAGTCCTCCTTGGCGAGCGCGGCCTTGGCGTTCGCGAACGTCTCCTCGTAGAAGCTGAGCTCGCCGCCGAGGAGCTGCTCGTCGAGGGAGATGGGCCCCGCGCCGGCGACGGCGAAGTAGCCGAGGACGAGGACGTACATGGCTTCGCCTGATACAAATTACCCCGCGGACGACGGCGACGAGTCCGAGAGGCCGCCGACGGAGTGGAGCTCGGGCAGGTCCGAGAGGGGCGTGTCGCCCGCGCGGTCCGCGGACGCCTCGACGAACGTGTGCTTCTTCGCGCCCTCGAGCCGCGCCTTGCGGATGGCCTCGGAGCAGCGGACCATGAAGAGGTTGTAGTCGATCTTCGCGTGGCGCTTCGTCGCCGGCGCCCCGAGCTCGTCGGCGGGCGCGATGGCCGTGAGCTGGCTATACTCGACCTCCGTGAAGCGGAAGCCGTGGCGCGCGAGGACCTCCCGGAAGATGGACACGGGCACGTACGTCGACGTCGGCGGCAGGCAGGACCCCTGGAGCTCGCGCCGCAGGAGCCGCGCCATGGACGGCGCCAGTAGCGGACGTAATGCCGGGAGCATGTGCTGGAGCATGTTCCGGTCGAAGCCCGTGAGCGAGCCCGTGTCCGCGGATAAAGGATCCAGAGCCATGGGCATGCGGTAGTCGTGGTCGTCGATGTACTGCTTGAACTGCTTCGAAATATAGGCCTTGGCGATCTCCTGCTTGACCTCCTTCTCGTGCTGCTTCTGGGCCGCGACCTCCTCGCCGAACTCGTTCTGCGACAGCTCGATCTCCGCGCGGTGGTCGCGCTCCGCGGCGGCGCCCGGCGCGTCCTCCGCGGAGGGCTTCGCGTCGCGCTTCGGCCGCGCGCGCCAGTCGCGGCAGGGCACGTACCACTTGCCGTAGTCGACGCGCACGGGCGGCCGCGCCTCCGCGCGCGCGCGGATGGCCCGGGCCATGCGCAGGTACTCGATGGCGACGGACGACCGCTTCGACTCCTTGAGCTTCTGCGCCTTCCACTTCGAGATGTGGGGCCGCACGGGCGACGCGGCCCGCGTGCCCTCGCCGTGCGCCGCGCGCCGCCGCTCCTCCTCGACGAGGTCGCGCATGGACAGGCCCGCGCCCGACGTCAGATTCCGGATCGTCGACAGCTTCACGCGCGCCATGTTCGCCGCGTACTTCGCCTCGGGCTTCGTGAGCTCCCAGGGGATGTCCGCGGCGATGCGGATGGTCTCCGGCGGCCGCCAGATGATGATGGGCGCCGGCGGGCCCGACGGCTCCCGGGCCCGGTCGCCGTCGGGCGGCCGCGCCGTCGGAGGCGCCGCGACGACGTTGATGGGCGGCGGCGCGCGCAGCCGCTCGAGACCCTTCATGGGCCCGCTCTCGTACTTGGGGTGCTCCGTGAGCGCCTCGATGTCCGTCGAGAAGCGCTTCTTCCCCGCGGCGTAGTCGCCGGCTTTCGGGAGCCGGTCGTCGCCGACGGCCTCGCCGCGGTCCGCGGCGGCCAGCAGCTCCCGGACGTTCGGGTCGTCGCTGAGCTGGGCCTGGCGCGCCCGCAGGCGCGCGACGGACGCCGCCGAGCCGCTCTGGTCGTCCCAGGACGCCGTGAGGCTGTGGCTCGGCGCGCCGAACTTGAGCATCTGGGACGCGGACGTCTCGTTGAGGTCCGGCACGGCCGACGCGGCGACGACGCTGTGGACCTCGGCGTCGGGCAGGTCGCCGAGCGACGACTCGAGGCGCGCCTCGACGCGCGACTGGACCAGGCTCTCGAGCGTGGACTCCTCGATGGTGAGCCGCGGCGACTCGAGGAGGGGCACGTGCGTCTCCTCCCGCGTCAAGAAGCGCCACGTGTGGTTCAGGAACGGCGACGGCCGCGACCGCTTGCCCCGCGCGGGGCGGATCGGCGCGCCGCTGAAGTTCGACACCCGCGAGAGCACCATCTCGCGTCCGCGCGCCGCGCCGGCGGCTGATCGATATGGGAGGCGCGGTTTCAGACCGGGATATGGAGGAGCAAGTTGGCGTCAACAGCAGCCTGTCGCCGCAGCACATCGTCTTCGATTCGTGCGCAGCCTACCCGTCGCTGCACCGTCGCGTCGACGCAGCTCTCGCGCGCTCTCCACGAACCGCACAGCTCGCGCGACCGCTGAAACAGAAAGCATGGCCGCCCTCGCCGCGATGGCCGGGAAGCTCGGCCTCGACATGGACGACCTGAACGACAGCGACCGGCCGCCGCCGGGCCCGCCCAAGGACCCGAACGAGCCCGTGCTCGCGCCGGTCATGGGCAAGTCGTCGGTCGAGGTCATCGAGGGCAGCGACGAGATCCGGCCCGAGGGCTGGTGGCACCCCAAGGGCGCGTCGGAGCAGGGGCAAAAGTCGGACGCGCCCGTCCTGGCCCCCGAGAAGCTCGCGGCCGAGGCGGCGTCGGCGTACGTCGAGACCGTGCCCTTCGACACCTTCGCCCTGAGCGACGAGGGCAAGAAGGTCGTGCTCTACTTCGGCCTGCCCGGCGCGAAGGCGAACCTCGGCAAGGACGCCGTCGCGGCGTCGTTCCGGACGCAGGCCCTCGAGGTCACGGCGCGCGTCGGCAGCAAGCGCTACCGCTTCCACGAGTCCATCATCTACGAGCACATCGTCCCCGCCAAGGGCAAGGTCAAAGTCAAGAGCGACCACGTCGTCGTCACCATGTTCAAGGTCCACGCCGCGTGCCCCTGGGACACGATCTCCGTGAACCGCAAGGCCGTCGGCCCGGTGCGCACGTCGCCGCCGGACCACGGCCGGCCGACGGTCGTCACGGCGAGCGGCGACGCGGCCTAAACCCAATTCACCACGCGCGCGTGTCTCGCGCACGGTCCCTACCACCCGACGTTCGCGCGCGCGACCATGTCGAGCATGGACAGGTCCCCGACGAACAAGACGACGTGCATGTCCTCGTGGAACCCGTTCCTCCCGCGCTTGTGCCAGGGCACGCGGCGCGACATGGGCTCCTCGGCGTGCGCGTTCGACACGGGGACGGAGAGCAGCAGCGTGGAGACCACGAGGACCACGTTTGCGAAGAAGCGGAGGTCGAAGCCGCGGCGGAAAGCGATGTGCGAGTAGGAGAAGGCGCACTGCAGCGCGAGGAGCGCGCTCCGCGGCGCGTCCGTGCGGCCGGGCCGGTTTTGCAGGCCGACGGCGCCGTCCAATTGCCGCCGGACGAGCGACGCGTTCGCGGCGAAGAAGAGCGCCGTCGCGCCGAGCAGGAGGGCGAGCTCCCCGGGCGACCGCGCGAGCGCGACGTTGTTGCCGCCGATGGACAGCGGGATGGCCAGCAGGTCGAGGCGCAGCGCGTTCGTCAGGCTCGGCAGGTCGCAGAACGTGCCCAGGTGCAGCGCCGCGGAAGCCGCGTAGCTCGCGAGCTTGCCGAGCCCCATGCCCACGAGGAGCCAGCGCCGTCGATCGAGCTTGCGGAGCTGGATGAGAAAAAAAGCGACCCAGACGGCGACGACGAGGCAGCCGGCGACGACGCCGTGGATCAGGCCGCGCTGCCTCGGGCGCGGCTTGCCGTCGATGTAGCATCGCTTCGATCGATGCACGCGCACGGGCGCCATCGTCTTCAGAGAGCGGCCATACTGCTCCCGGGCTGCTTCCTTCAACACGAACTTCAATCTGGCCAATAAACTTAGCCGCCCTCGCCGAGCAGCTCCCGGAAGCGCCGCGCGACGTTCGGGTGGAGCGTGCCGTCGAGGCTGCGGCCCTCCCGGAGGAGGCGCTGGGCGTCCGTCGAGGACAGGTTCCGCGACAGCCCCCCGGGGAGGACCCAGCAGTCGCTGTCGCCGTCCGGCGGGCGCTCGAGCGGCGCGTTCGGCCGCTCGACGATGCAGCACCGCAGCCGCAGCCGCCGGAACATGTCGACGATCCGGCACTTGTTCGCGAGGTCCGACCCGTGGACGCCGACGACCGCGACGCGGCGCCTGCCCGTCGCGTCGCACCAGGCGTCGAGGTGCGCCGCGAGCGACGCCTGCGCGGCCCAGAACTCGACGAAGCGCTTCTGGGGCTCGCCGTCCCAGGCGTCGAGGCGCAGCCAGCCGTGGTCCTCGAGCGCGAGGCCGATGAGCTCGCGCCGCGCCGCGTGCGGCAAAAAATCGCGGAGCCTCTTCTGTTCCGCGTACTTCCGTCGCACGTAGAGGTCGTTCGACGTCGCCACGTAGCCGCCGACGACGCGGAATCCTCTCCGCTCCGCGTGGGCTTTGGCCCGTTCGAGGTTCGCGACGTGCTCGAGGTGGATGGGCAGCAGCGACCCGCAGGCGTAGAGGACGACGGGTTCCTGGTCCGGCGGGCACGCGTCGAGCGCCCGGGCGAGCGCGTCCTTCGGCGTCGTCGCGTCCGTGCGCGGCGCCGTGGGCTGCGCCTCGTAGGCGAGATGCCGCTCGAAATCGTAGGCTCTCGGGGGTATAATTTCGGCGGCCTTCGTCGCGCGCCGCATCATGGCGGCCCGCGCCTCGGCCCGCGCCGCCGTCACCGCGGCCATTTCTCAAAGCCCCCCGACGCGGGCTACTTCCGATCCTGCCCACGGCGCGATCTCCGAACAAGACGTCGTTATTGGATTTGTGACGGGGGAAACAACACGGCAATGCGGCGGCACCTCCAACCCGATCTCGTCATCTCCCGGCTTGAAGCATGGCTTCGTGCACCGATTGCGCCTGCGCCAGCAGACGACGAGTGGCCGTGGGCGCTCTGGCGCTCGTCGGCGGCGCGAGCGCCTTCCACCCGCCCGCGCCGCCGCTCGTGGAGACGCGGCGCAACTCGGCGCTGGCCTTCGAGCTCGGCACCGTCACGACCGAGGGCCTGGCGCGTTCTGCGGCGCCGCTCGCGGACCCGCGCGTCCGCACCGGGCGTTTCACCGCCCCGCGCCCGCGCAGGCATCGGCCCTCGTCGGCGGCGCCGTCGGCACCATCGGGAGCGTCATCGCGCGCGCCCGCGTCCGGCGCGCTCGCGATCCGAGCCGCCCCGGGCGCGCGGCCCCCGGACGCGGCGCCGCGCGCCGCCCCGCCCACCGTCCCGCGTCGCAGGCCATCGAGGCGAAGAAGGTCAAGACCCTGAAGAGCAAGCAGTGCCCCTACTGCATGGGCACCGGCGCGATCACGTGCGCGCGGTGCCTCGGGAGCGGCGTCGTCATGAACGCCGCGGGCGAGTCGGCGCCGTGCCCCATGTGCAACGGCCAGTGCGTCCACTCCTGCGAGAACTGCAAGGGCCGGGGGCGCTTCATCCCGACGATGCTCGACGCGCGCGTCTCCCGGGACCCCGAGTCGGAGCTCGAGGAGATCGGCCTCCAGTAAAAAATCCGGCACCGTCGATCCGAGTCGTCGTCGATGTCCGTGGGGTGTCTCGCACCCCTGGAGGGGGAGGCGGCCCCGGCCGGCCGAGCGCAGCCGCCTTTCACTGGTCGCACGATGGGGCTGCTGCGCAGCGCCGGGCTGCTGGTCGCGTGCGCCGTCGCGAGCGTTTCCGAGGCCTACGAGACCTACGGCATGACGGCGACGCACCGCGAGCTGTCGGCGCTGCTCCGGTTGCAGCCCGGCGCCCCGCCGCCGCTCATCGTGAGCATCCACCGCCTCGGCCTCGCGAACCGCCTGCGCCACCTCGCGGCGGCGGCGGTGCTCGCGGCGGACCTGGGCTTCGAGCTGCGCGTGCGCTGGAAGCCGGCCCACGGCTGCAACGCGACGCTCGCCGACCTCTTCGATGTCGAGCGGGCGGGTTTGACGGAATACGCCGGCGACGAGCCCGCGCTCGACAAGCTGCTCGACCTCGTCGACGGCGAAACGCTCGCCGCCGTGGCGTCCCCGGCGGACACGAACGCGTCGAACGTCGTCGTCGTGCGGTCCTCCGGCGTGCGGCTGGACCTCGCGCTCGCGGGCGGCGTCGCCGCCGCCGTCGTCCTCGACCCGCGGGGGTCGTTCGCGGCGCGCGACGTCACGTGCCACGAGTTCCTGCACCGCAAGTCGGCCTTCTACGAGCGGCTCGCGGCGGCGGCGCACGCCGAGGTGGCGCGGGCCCGGGACCGGTTGCGGTCCGCCGTCCGCGGCCGCCTCGCCGTCGGCCTCCACGTCCGGGGCTTCGACGCGCGCTTCGACTGGCCCGTCGTGCCGCCGGAGGCCGCCGGCGAGGAGGCCCGGACCTGGGACGACGGCGCGCCGGCCCACGCCCACTTCCGCGCCGCGCGGGACGTGCTCGACGCGCACCCGCGGGCCGTCGTGTTTTTGGCGTCGAACGACGAAGCCGTGAAACGCGACGCGAAGGCGCTCTTCGCGGCGTCCGAGCTCGTCTACGCGGACTGGAGCGGCGCGCCCCGGGGCCTGCCCACGCACGGCGCCCGCGCGGCCCTCGCGGACTGGCTCGCGCTCGGCGACGCGGCGCTCGTGTTGCATTCCTTCGGTAGCTCCTTCGGCGAGGAGGCCGCGGCGCGGCGGCTCGCCCCGTCGATCCGCGTGCGCCGCGAGCGCCACGTGCTGGGCGTAGACCTGAACCGGGCCCACTGCCACCACCCGCTCTTCGAGAACGCGGACGCGCCGCCGCCGCTGGAGGGCGCCGCGTGCTTCGGCGAAGGCGACCGCGCGGTCTGCGCGCCGCCGCTGCGCAAGGCGCCCTGCGCCGCCGCCACGGACGCCTGGGGCGTGGCGAACGTGTACTGTTAGGAAGGAGGCTTCTAGGCCTGGTCGCCGCGGGACCGCGCGTGGAGCGCCATGTGGCCGCGCTGGATGCCCTCCGTGGCGAGCGCCTTGAGCGCGGCGAGGTTCTGCGCGAGGCCCGCCGCGGCCATGACCTTCGCCAAGTCCACGGCCTTGTCCACGCCGAGGATGTTCAGGTTCGCCTTCGCCGCCGGGTGGACCTTGCAGGCGCCGCCGACGAGGCCCACGGCCATGGGCACGGTGATCGACCCGACGAGGTCGCCGTCGTCGTTCTTGGACCACGCGGTCATGGGGCCGTAGCTAGTGCCGTAGCCGACGTAGGCGTGGGCGCCGGCCTCGATGGCGCGCCAGTCCTGGCCCGTCGCGACGGCGACGGAGGAGATCGCGTTCATGACGCCTTTGTTGTTGGTGCACCTGTGTGGAAATCAAACAGTGAGCTGGGTTATCCCAACCAAACTTCAAACCTCTCTAGCTCGGTCAAATCGAGGTCGATTCGGCTGATTTTTGGACGAATCGATTGCTCTCATTGAGTTCTCGAAGCACGGCAGAAGACCATCTGTTGAAACCGTCGCATACGCTCACATTGAAGTCGGGTTGAAGATTTGGTTTCCACACAGTCGTGCGCGCGCGCCACGGGTCGGCCCGCGCGAAGTCGAAGGCCTCGAGGATCGCGTCGACGACCGTGGCGCCCTCGTCGGGTGTCGCCGCGAGCTCGCCGGGCGTGAAGGTCGCGCTGACGCGCGCGAGGCGCTCCGTCGCGAGGTTGCTGAGGATGCGGAGGCCCGCGCGCGCGCCGGCGCCGCAGAGCGACGCGACGTAGTCCGAGAGCGCCTCCGCGAGCGTGTTCACGAGGTTCGCGCCCATGGCGTCGCGGCAGTCGACGAGGAGGTGGCACACGACGAGCGGGCCGCCGGGCCCGTCGACGACGCGCGCCTCGAGGCCCCGGAAGCCGCCGCCGCGCGCCACCATGCTCGGCATCGCGGCGTCGCATCTCTTTCCGACGTCGTCCCGCGCCGCGACGACGGCGTCCGCCGCCTCCCGGGGGTGCGCGCAGCCCCGGACCTCGATCTGGCCGATCATGACGGGCGCGTCGCACTCGCTCGTGAAGCCGCCCTTCTTCAGGCACCGCTTCGCCATGTTGCTCGCCGCGGCGACGACGGACGCCTCCTCGAGGACGAAGGGGATGAGGTAGTGGCGGCCGTCGATGACGAAGTTCGTCGCCACGCCCACGGGCAGGCTGTAGGTGCCGATGACGTTCTCGATCATGCGGTCGGCGACGGCGAGCGGCAGCTCGCCCTCGCGCGCCAGCGCCGCGACGTCGCCCTCGGACAGCGACGCCGCCTCGGCGACGGCCGCGCGCCGCTCGGCGACCGTCAGCTTGTGGAAGCCCGCCAGGCGCGAGTTCGCCACGGGCATGGCTGCGCGCGGCCGACGGCGCGTGCAGCTAGCTAGCTCGAAATTTGCCACAGGCGGTTCATCAAGGCATCAAGCTCTCGAAGTTGACGTGTCAAGACGTAATAAACCGGATTACAACCTCACAGGCGACCGCCTCTCTCTGGGTCGTACCATATCCCGCCGGCGGGATATGGTAAACGCCGCTTCAAATTGGGCTTCAACCTTAAACCTTGCACTTCAGCAGGGACTTCGCCACTGCTGCTTGCCCTTCAAAAGGGAGCTCAACTTTGAACACCGCCGCTCACCGTGACGCCTTGCCGCGGCGCCGCGGGGGACCTCTGACGTGCCGCCCACGCCTTAGGGGGCGCGACCCGCCCCAAGCCAGAAGCCCTCCAGAACCCTTCCAGAACGCTTCCAGAACCCGAAAGACCCCAGACGCCTTACGATTTTGCGATTTCGATTAACGTACGACCTGTGGGAGGAGAGATAGAATGGTCTCGGACGGAAGAAGTTGAAGTAGGTGGGGGGCTGCTATTTTGAGACGTGGTTTAGGTCCCTGTTGAAGTGCAGGGTTTGAGGTTGAAGTCCAAGTTGAAGCGGCGTTTAACATATCCCGCCGGCGGGATATGTTAGTCGTGACCATTTAAAAACAGAATTTTACGTACGCCTCAGCCCTTGGCGGCCTTCTCGCGCTGGAGGCTCGCGCGGACCTCGGCGACGAGCGCGGGGTCGGGCTCGTCGTAGTACTTGCTCCAGCGCGCGCGCCGCGCGAGGCGGTCCGTGCGCATCTGGTCGAAGGACTGGGACACGGTCGAGAGCTGGGAGAATTTCGAGGGCGTATTCTCGCCGGAGAGGTGGTCGTCGCAGATCTTGTCCCACTTCTTGCCGTCGAGGGGCCGCGACTTGACGAGCGCGGCCGCGTCGGTCTTCCGCTTGTGCTCCTGCGCCGGCGTCGGCGGCGCCGGCGGCGGCCGGGACGGGTCCACGGGCGCGGCGGGCGCCGGGTTCGCGGGCACGGCCGCCGCGGCGCGCGCGAGCATGCGCGCGGACGCGGTGTCGTCCGCCTCCAGGACGTCGTCGGCGGGGCTCCGGGGCGTCGCCGCGCGGGCGAGCACGGGCGCCGTCGTCTTGATCGTGCCCCGGTACTGGGCGCCGAGCGGCGGCGCGTCCTCGGCGAGGTGCTCGTCGTCGCCGGCGAGGCGCAGCTCGCGCAGGGCGTTGACGGACCGCTGCGCCTCGCGCAGCGCGTTCACCTTCTCCGCGAGCTCGTCGGGCTCCGACTCGGCGTCGGAGAGCTCCGCCTCGAGCTTCGCCCAGGCGTCGTAGTCCGTATTCATGTGGTCGGGCAGCCCCACCTCCCAGCGGTTGACCAAGTTTATATTTAGGGTGTCACGGTGTCGCGCCGTTGAGGCCGACGGGGCAGCCGAGGAGCGCTCGTATGCCGGCCGAGATCTGCTGGATGCCTCATGGGCAACTGGGGCAGTAGCCGGTCGAAGGACCCGGAGGGCTGGCACGAGCCGCTCTGCGAGAGCGGCGGCGACGACGCCGCGCGGGACCGGCGTTCCCGAAACGTTGCTCGCACTCATACGTTTGTCCCAGGCGTCGTCGATCAGCGGCAGCGTGACGACGCAGCCCGAGACCTTCGTGCTCACGTCCTCGCTGGTGGAGAACGACCCGCGCTACGGCGACACCTACAACCTCGGCTACCAGAACTTTTACGTCGCGCGGCTCGGTCCGAAGGGCGACGCGAAGCCGTACCTCTTCGCGCAGCGGCACGACTACGCCGTCACGGTCGTCGACGCCGGCGGCAGGCCCGTCGCCGTCGTCGGCACGGCGCTCAACGTCGAGGCCAACGCCGCCCGCGGGCGCCGCGGCAAGAGCTGCGCGGACCCCTGGGAACGAGTCGACGTCTATCGGTGCTCGCCAGGGCAGGACAAGAGAGCGAAATTCCCAACTTCAAAGGCTCCTTTCTCGGCCGTTTTCCACTCGTTTCGGCTGATTTTTGGACGAGCGATCATCTCTCGGAACGGTCCCGAAGCGTGTATGCTTTTTTCCGGAACGCGCGCGCGCGGAACATTCACGTTGAAGCGACATTGAATCACTCTTGTGCTGCCCAGGTGCTCGCCGCGGTTCCCGGGGCAGGCCGGCGCGGCGCGCGACGGCCGCGACGTCTTCCGGCACGCGCGCGTCGACGTCGCGTCCGGGGCCATCGCGCTCGTCGAGGAGACCGGCGAGCGCGAAACCTACGACCTGCGGTTCCCGAGGAGGCGGGCCCAGAACGGGAGCAACGCGCTCGTGACCAAGCGGGACCGGGGCGCCGCGCCGCTCGTCGTGGCCCGCGTCGAGCAGGTCAACTCGACGGTGCTCGACATCGAGCGGCCGCTGAACCACTCGTACTGGTGCCCGCTGAAGGTGTCCGTGGCGTCGGGCGTCGACGCGGACCTCGTGCTCTGCGCGGTCGTCGCCGCGTTCCGCCTCCACCGGTGCGACGGCTTCCGCTGGCGGCCCGACGCCGTCGAGACGTACGGGCCGCCGGGCAAGGGGAAGAGGTAACGGTTGCGGTGGATGTGCGAGGCGGCGCGGAAAAGTCGGAGCCGGAGGACGGCGCGGCCGGCGTCCGATGCGTCGACGCGCTGCCGCGGGCCGGTGGAGTTGAGCCCCGAGGAGGCTCTCCTCTGCGTTTTCCCTCGTGAGAGGTCTTTTCCGCGCGGCTTCTCGAAAAAGAGTTTCCGCAAATCTACGCGCGTCGTCACTCCACGACGCGCAAGCTCACGTCGCCTGCCCTGAGGTTGGCCTTCGGGTCTGGGCAGAGTGCGCGACGTCCCGAGAGGCTCCGGGCGTTGGGCTCCCCGCCGGACTGGGGTCAGCAGCCCCGCCTGCTGCCCTGGCCGCGAAACCCCGTTCGGTCGACCGAGCGGGGGGACGCGGCAGGTCCGGAGGCTTACCCGGCGTCACTCGGCCACGAGGCAGCGAGAGCGCTGGACCAGCGCGCTCTTTGGGGTCCCTCACCCCGGACGTGACGCGCCTAGGCGCTCCTCCCAGCGAGAGTCCGGTTCCCCCGTGGGTCTCGGCTAGGCCCGGGCTAGCAGTAAGCGACTCCAGGCCAGCTTTGCACCAGAGCAACTGCCGCCGGCCAATGGCCACTTGCAACTAGCTTCGCCGCAGCATGAGGCGCGCCGCATTACTGCTCGCCGCCTATGATGCAGGCGGCTTCGCGCCGCGGATCCAGCGCCGCGCGCCGGTGCAGCGGCGCGCCGCGGAGCCGCCGGCGCCGCTGTCGCCCGTCGAGGACTGCGCCTGGGACGCCCTCGAGTGCGACGTCGCGGACATGGACTGGCGGCCGGCGCAGAGCGACCTGATCCTCGAGGCCGAGGACGCGAGCGTCTGGGTCGAGGAGAAGCGCGAGTACGCCGCGTGCTTCGTCGGGTCGGGCGACGGCGACGGCCTCGGCGGCGCGGCGTCGGCGGTGCCGCGCGCGCTCCGCGGCGTCTACAAGCGGTCCTTCACGTCCGTGGAGACCTTCCCCGAGGGCCCGAACCGGACGCGCTTCTTCCACGCCTTCGACGCCCACTTCCCGGCGCTGGGGTCGGCCGCGTGGGCGGCCGTCGAACCGAACGCGACGGCCGATTACGACGGCCGCGTGCTCGACCTCGTCGGCGATCTCCTGGAAGCGACGGCCTACCTCCACGAGCGCGGCCTGCCGCACCTGTCGCTGAACTCCGAGTTCGTGCGCGTCGGCAGCGACGTCGGCGACGCGGCGACGCGGCTCAAGGTCGTCGGCGTCGGCGCGGGCCCGAAGCTCGTCGCGACGCGCCGGCCGTTTTCGCTGCCGGAGAAGTGGCCCTTCAACGCGCCGGAGACCATGGGCGGCGCCATCATCCAGTCGAACCTGCGGGCGCTCCTGTTGATGGACGCGTGGTCCGTGGGCGTGCTCGTGTGGATGCTCGTCGCGCGCGCGACCGCGTCGCCCTTCGAGGCGGCGGCGGACTGGAAGCTGGGGCTCTGGACGGACCGGGACGCCGTGCGCACGAAGTACGAGGACATCTTCCGCGACTTCTCCGCGTTCCTCATCGACACGAACGCCGCGGGACGCGGCGTGTTGTTTCGCCACGGCTGGCTCGTGCAGGTCCTGCTGGGCCTGCTGCGCGTCGAGCCCGAGCAGCGCCTGACCGTGAGCTCCGCCTACGCGCTCTACAAGAGCGCGCGGCCGCGGCGGGTGGAGGTGCTCCAAAAACCCGCGGCCGCGCCGCCGAGGCGGGCGAACGCGTCGTCGGAGATCGGGCGGTTCGGCGAGGGCCGCCAGCCCCCGCGCGCGGCCGACGCGCGCGCCGCCGGCGAGCCCTTCCGGTCCCTGGAGGCCATGCTGAACATCGCGGAGAACGGCAACTGCAAGTGCGTCCTCGAGAAGCGCGGCGCGACGCCGATGACGCCGAGCGCGAAGAAGAAGGGGCCGCCGGACCGCGGCGGCGCCTGGGGCTCCGCCGTGCCCTACGGCGAGGTCGTCGGCTTCCGGAACCGCGCCGACGGCGACCGCTGGGACGTGCTCCTGCCCGGCGTCGTCGTCGACCCAAAATCGCCCGCGGGGCTCCGCGGCGTCGGGCCGAACGAGCCGCTGCGCATCGCGCGCGTCATCGGCGTCGTCCTCATCAAGGGCGGCAACCACAAGATCGCCGTCGAGGTCGCGGGCCACGAGCCGGACCCGGACGCGGTCCTCAGCGACGTCCGCGACTTCATCGCCGCCTACGTGCGGTCGCACCCGACGTCGCCGAACCGCGTCCGGTTTCTCGAGTACGACTCCCTCTCGGGCTCGGGGCTGCGGTAACACGCGCCTTATACCCGGGCCGCGCGAAGCGCTAGAGGTAGGAAGCGATGGCGGTCCTGATGTCGTACGGGACGGGGAACTCGACGCGGTCGCGAAAGAGCGTGGCGACGACCACCGCGGCTTTTCGCTTGGCGCCGGCGCCGGCGTCCTGAACAACCGTGACAAATTCAGAGGGCATGTCCGAGAACTGCGTGCGAATGGTCACGCTGCCTCGCCGCGCGAGCTCGACGATCGCCTCGACGCGGCCTCGAGCCAGTGCGGTCGCGACCGCGTTGTCCTCGTTGTTGTGAGCGAGCATCCGCAGTGCCCACGCGGAATTCGTCGCTGCGCGGCCGCCGCCCTCGACTCGCGCCAGCAACGGCGGGATGCCACCGGCCTCCCGGATCACGACCCGGTTCTCGTCGTTTGCATGCGCGATGGTCTCCAGCGCTGACGCAGCAGACCGCCTTGTGTCGGCGCTGCCGCTCTTGAGCAACTCAATGAGGAGCGGGATGGCGCCGCCCTCCCGGATTGCTACTTTCATGGCGTCGTTTAAGTGGGCGTGTGTCCACAACGCATACGCGGCTTCCTCTCGCCGCTTGTCATCTACTCGCTGCAACATTATGAACGCGGTTTCGAGAGACAATGACATTGTCATGACCATCTCGCAGGGCGGGTCGGGACGGGGCAGCATCGACCTTTGAGCTGATCGAGCCCAGCATCTTTGGCCGCGAAGCTGCTCGACATGGCGCAGATTTTATGCGCCTTGGCCGCCGTCGCGGCGGCCCCCTGGGTCGCCGGGGTCGCCGCGGCGCCCTACGTGTCTTCGAACAGCTTCATCGACCAGGAGTGCCCGTCGCGCTCCGTCCCCGGCCTCGGGTCGCCGACGAGCGTCCTCGTCGTCACGGCCCACGACGTCTGGGCCTACGACGGCGCCACGGGCGCCCACGAGCACGTCGCGGCGGCGTGGGCCGCCGGCGCGCCGCGGCCCGAACTCGTCGCGGCCTTCGTCGTCCGCGGCGACGCCTGGGTCGTCGCCAACGGCGCGGGCGGCGCGTTCGCCGCGCGCGTCGACGAGGCCGCGGGCGTGCTCGTCGACGCCTTCGCGGTCCCCGGCGTCGGCGCCGCGTCCGACGCCGTCAAGGTCGGGGGCACCCTGTGGGTCGCCGACGCCGACGGCGCGGTGCCCCTCGACTGGGCCGCGCGGACCGCGGGGCCGCGCGTCGCCGCGCCCGAGGAACTCCGGGGCCTCCGGCTCCGCGTCGCCGTCGAGGGCGACGCCGTGCACCTGGGCACGGACGCGGCGGTCGGCGGGTCCCTCGCGCTGAGCGCGCGCGTTGATAGGAACACGGGCGCCGTTTCTTACGGCGACTCCTTCGGCGACGGCGCGGCGCTCGCCGACGGCGGCTTCCTGCGCGTCGCGCGCGACCGCCGCGGCGTCGTCCTCGAGCGCGACGGCGCCACGCAATCCTGGTCCTCGACGGCCCTCGCGGCGAAGATCCTCGGGCGCGCGCCGAAGCGGGGCGAGGGCTTCCGGGTCGCGGCCGTCGCCGCCGCGTCCCGGGGCGAGGCGCTCGTCGCGGGCGTCTACGGGTCCTACAACGGGTCGGCCATCGCGACGTTGCAGTTGGACGACTTCGGCGCCTCCGTCGCCGTACGGAACGCGCCCGAGGCGTCGACGGCCGTCGCGCGGCTCCTCTCACCCGGCTACGCGTGCGGCGGCGCCGACGTCTCGCGGCCGCCGCGCCTCGAGCTCTTCGACGGCCGGGGCTGGGACGTGGCCTACGAGCCGCACCGCCGGGAGGCGGAGAACGTGAGCCGCTACGGCTTCATCGCGGACCACTTCCGCGGCGACGGGCGGCCCGCGCGGATCGACGAATTGGACATGCTCCGCGAGTCCGAGGCCGCGATGGCGCCCTACGCGACGTCGCTGCGGTCCGGCGACGCGCGCCTGCCCCACCGCCACCCCCTGAGCCTCGAGGCGAAGATGCATCCGGAGCCCGCGAAGCATTTGGAGGACGTCTACCGCGCGCGCGCCCGCGTCGACACGGGGCCGTTCCGCGAATGGGCGTCCCGGCACCTCGACGAGGGCATGTTCCAGGAGTCGTGGCTGCGAAAGCATAACGCGTGGATGACGGGCCGCGACTTCTTCATGAACAAGTTCAAGCCCAACGTCACGAGCCTCATCCTGCAGTTCGGCACCGCGGACACGAAGACCTTATTCCGCTACCCGTTCTACACCGACGCGCTCCAGCGCGACGTCATCTCGCCCCTGCTCGAGGCCGTGGGCGTCAACGAGTCGCGCGTGACGCGGCTGCAGCTCGCGCACATGCCGCCGCGGTCGCAGATCCGGCCGCACGTCGACAGCGGCCACTGGGCCGAGAGCCAGCACCGCGTCCACATCCCCCTCGTCGTCAACGGCGGCGTCGCCTTCATGTCCTTCATCAACGGCGCCTTCAAGCGCGTGCCCGTGGAGACGGGCCTCGCCTTCGAGATCAACAACAAGATCCCGCACTGCGTCTACAACACGGGCGACTCGCCGCGCCTGCACCTCCTCATCGACGAGCTGCCCCACGACCCGCCGCGGGTCGTCCACGTCCTGCCCGAGGGCGCCGTCTGCGACTACAAAAAGGCCGCGGTCGAGACCCTCCCCGACTCGTGCGTCAACATCGCCACGTCGACGTACGACCCCGTCGAGCGGGCGACGCGGCTCGCGGCCGAGCGGCGGCGGCAGCGTAAGCTTTATTAGGCCGTCGGCAGCTCCCAGCGCGTCTCGGCGCCGTTGAAGTAGTACGTGTTGCCCGACGTCGGGTCCACCGCGGCCTGCCAGCCGGCGGGCAGCGCCGCGGCCGCCGCGGCCGCCGCGGCCCGGTCCGCGGCGTCGAGCGCCGCGTTGGCGACGTCGCAGTTCGCGTCGGCGACGACGGCCGGCGCGTCGTTGGACGTCTCGCCCGTGGCCTCGTTCCACCAGTACGTGCCGCCCTCGGGCCGCGGCACCGCCGTCCACGCACTCGCCTCCGCCGCGCGGTCCGCGGCGGAGAACTGGACGTCCGTGTCCGGGTAGGCGCCCGCGTCGTCGCCGTCGGCCGTCTTCAGCCGCTTCGCCGCGGGCAGCCGGTAGTCCGCGGGCGTCTCGAAGTCCGCGGTGCCCGAGTCCGTGACCTCGACGCCGCGCGCCTTCATCATCTCGACCAACGCGTCCGCGTCCGCGCGCGCCGCGGCGTCGTGGGCCACGGGGTTCGGGTCGTCGTGGGCCCAGCGAATGTTGAGATTCTCCTCGTGGTCCAGGTGGTTGTTCGACATGGCCTGGAACGCGAATTCCGCGCCCGACCGGTGGCGGTAGCGCACGAACGCGATGGACAGCCGCGAGATGAGGTTGATGTTCTCGACCTCGCCCCACTCCCCAAAGTTGCGCCAGAGCGCCTCCTCGAGAGCGAGGGGGTCGGCGTACTCCGCCTTGAGCAGCGAGCCCACGTAGAGCGTCCGGCACGGCTTCATGAGCGCGCCCACCCCGGTCATGTCGTCGCGGAAGTCCTTGTGCCGCTCGCGGCCGAAGACGTCGCGCATCTCGTCGGACGCGAAGCGCTCGAGGTCCGCCTTGACGGGGATGCGGTGGAAGAAGCGGCAGTCGCCGCCGTTCGCGCAGCAGCCCCGCGCGAAGAAGAGGCAGAACGAGCAGCTCGCGGACGTCCGCGACTTGTCCGCCTTCGTCCTGCCCGCGTCCGTGGCGAGCACGCAGCGCGTCTCCGCGGGCTCGCGGCTCTTGCCGTTGTCCCAGTGCTCGCCGATGTACTTGCCCCACCACAAATTGTACTCGTACGCGCCCTCGAGGACGGAATTCTTCGACGCGATGTAGTCGACCTGCTTCCGCGCGGGTCTTTTCAAATACTCGACGTTGTTCGCCTCGTAGCCCTTGGCGGCCGTGGACCCGGCGGCGCCGCGGCCGAACCAGCCGCTCGAGTGCGGCGTCGGGCCCATCTCCGCGGGCCGCTCCCACTGCGTCTCGCCCGTCGCGCCGTTGAAGTAGTACAGGCTCTTCGCCGCGGGGTCGTAGACCTCCTTCCACTCGCCGTGGACCGTCGCCTCCGGGGCCGCGGCGTCCTCGGTCCCTTCCTCGCCGTCCGCGGCCTCGACCTGCGCGCCGGCCGCGGCCGCGCCGTGGACGAGGCCGCCGCCGCCCTTGGGTTTCTTCGCGCGGCACCGGAGGCACCGCGCCTTGCTGGCGTAGTTCTCCGTGTGGCACTCGTCGCAGGTCCAGTTCTTCTCGAAGACCGTGTAGGCGCTGCCGAGCTCGCCGACGACGCCCACGGGCATCATCTTCCGCGCGGGCCCGCCCGCGGCCCACTGGCCCGACTGCACCGTCGTCGCGGGCACGAAGTTCTGCGGCGTCTCGAGCTTCTCCGCGGCGGCGAGGCGCGCGGCCGACGGGGCCAGCGGGACCACCGTGCCCTTGTCGGGCATCTTGGCGGCGTGTCTGGTGTTTGCGGCGGGGCTGTTGTTGCGGCGCGGCTCGGCGGCGCTGGTGCGGCGCGGCGGCGCGCGAGGCGCGGGGGTGTGTTGAGCGGCGAGCGTCGAGCGCGCGGGGCACCCGGCGGTGTCCACGGGCGCGCGGCGACGGCGAAGGTGGCGCCGAGCTCGGCCGAGGAGCTCGGCGTCGCCTGCCGCAGTCGCGCCGTGGACGCCGGCGACGGCGCTCGACGCGTTTCAGCGACCATGTCCCACTTCGACGTCGACGACCTCGAGGAGACGACGGCCCAGTACGAGTTCGTCAAGGCCGTCGAGTTCACCGGCACACAACCGACGAACATGCCCGAGGACGTGCAGCGGCGGCTCTACGGCCTCCACTGCTGCGCGACGCGCGGCAAGGCCCCGGCGAAGCCGCCGGCCATGACCGTCGGCGACGACGCGCTCCGGGCGCAGTACGACGCCTGGCGGGACGCGTCCGACGCGACGGCGACGCCGACGGAGGCGATGCACGAGTACGTCGACCTCGTGACGGCCTACTGCCCCAAGTTCGGCGACGACCCCGACGACCAGGACGAGGCGACCCTGAACACGTTGAAGGACCAGCTCGCGAGCTCGGGCTTCCGGGAGGCGTCGCGACCCGACGACGCGCCGCCGCTGGACGTCTTCGAGGCCGCGCGGTCCGGCGCGGAGGTCTTGGCCCGTTTTTTACCCGACGGCGCGGCCGAGGTCGACGAGGAGGGGCTGAGCGCGCTGATCCACGCCGTCGACGCGGAGCAGCTCGAGGCCGTCGAGGCGCTGCTCGACGCGGGCGCGGACGTCGACGGCGGCGACGCCGAGGGCTCCGCGCCGCTCCACTACGCGGCGCTGCTGGGCGCCGACGGCCTCTGCGAACTGCTCAAGGAGCGCGGCGCGTCGCTGACGCTCCAGAACGACGACGGCATGACGGCCGCGGACGTCGCCGCGGACGAGGGCTGGCACGAGCTCGCGGACTTCCTCCGGTCCACGAAGACCAAGGCCGCGAACCCCGAGGACGTCGTCGTCGAGGGCCGCAAGGTCGCGCCGGCCCAGGGCAAGGCCGGCACGACGCTGCCCCGGAACCTCCTCGAGAAGCGGTAGTACATTTTTTACGACGGACCGCGCTACTCCTCGAGGTTGATCTGGGAGCCGAAGCGGCCGTAGAGGACGACCTTGAGCTCCTTCTGCCGCGCGGCGATCTTCTCGATCTCCGCGTCCTCGTGGTCCATCTCCGCCTGGATCTTCTCCTGCTCCGCCTCGCAGTACTCCGTCGCGAAGTCCTCGCCGACGTCGACGAACGACTCGCCGCCGAGCATGAGCTTCACGTCGTCGCCGTCGCCCATGGCGAGCTCCGTCGTCGCGTCGTCGAACTCCTCGAGGCTCTTCTGGAGCACGGCGCGGTCCGCCTTGCGCTCGTGCATCTTCGCGTTGAGGCGGCCGAACTCGTTGATGAGCAGCTGGTCCTCCTTGCGCACCTCGACGTCGCCCATGGCTTCGCGCGCCGATCGGATGCGGTCGCGGCGCGAACGAGTCGCTGCGGGCGCGAGTCGAGAGAAGGTCGCGGCGCGTTGGAGCGGCGCGCGCGTCGCTGCGGCCGGCCGAGGCGCGATGAGCGGCTAGCCGGCTTGGGCGATGTTGCCTGAAACTTCGGCTAAGTGCAGCCCTGCTTTCTCGGTCTGGACGGGGTCTCAGCCCCGGTCGCCCCCTTCGCGTGCATCTGCGTCCCCGCCCCTCGCGCGCCTGCTGTGCTCTCGAGATGGCCAATCCTGTTATGTGCATTAGAACTGACGATGCGGATGGTCTTCGCGCTCACCTTTCCGCCAGTAGGCACCATTTGAGCATCAGATTCCGAGATACTGACGCGACCTCACTCCACGAGGCAGCTAAGTTTGGCAGCATCGACTGTCTTCGCGCGTTGATTGAACTTGGAGCGGACGTGAATGCAATGACTTGGGCGAACCGGGCGCGCCGCCGCGCGCGTACGCAAGAAAATACGTCCCAACAAACACCGCTGCACTATGCGTGTATCCACGGGCGCGCGCCCTGCGCCGAGGCGCTGTGCCAGGCCGGGGCCAATCTTGACGTCGCGGATGAGGACGGAGTTACTCCGCTTTTTCATGCCATCCGATACCGTCACCGCCGCGTCGTCATGACCTTGCTGCGCGCCGGCGCTTACCAGCCTTTCCCTGAGCCCGCTCCAGAGCTTTACAACAAGTCCGCCGCACTGGACCTCGCGCGCGCCGTCGAGCGCGCCGGCGACTGGGCGGCGTACGTCGCGCAGCACAAGGGCGTCCTCGCCGGCCTCGTGACCAAGTGCAAGCCCATGCCCGCCGACGCTGCGGGCCTCGTCGTCGAGTTCTGGACGCCGCCCGGCGGCTTCTGAGAGGCCACATGTGTGGATAAAAAGGCCGTGTTACGAAACTCACGCCCAGATGCTCGCCGCGTCCGGCGTCGCGGCCCGGGCCTTGTCGATGACGGCGTAGAAGTTGTCCGCGTCGACGCCCTGCGCGTCGCAGATGCGCTTGTCGCGCTTCATCGCCGCGGTCTGGAGGAAGGACAGGAGCTTCACCTCCTTGGGCGACAGGTCCGGGTGCCAGACGTCGAAGATGAGCACGATGCGGCCGGCGCTCGCGTGGTCGTTCCAGGCCTCGTGGTTGAAGGAGTCGTCGAAGACGACGGCGCGGCCCTCGGCTAAAGACACGAATTCGTCCGCGACGCGGAGCCGGCAGGCGCCCGGCGGGTCCGCGGGGCAGACCAGCGGCAGGTGGCAGCGCAGCTTCTTGGCCGTGGGGCCGTTGTGGGCCGTGATGTGCGTCTTCGGCGCGTTGGCACTGAAGAACGCGTGGCCGTAGCGCCGGGGCACCTGGGCAGGACAAGAGAGATTCAACGTCGCTTCAATGTGAGTGTTTCGCGCGCGCGCGTTCCGGAAAAAGCATCCACGCTTCGAGACCGTTCCGAGAGATGATCGCTCGTCCAAAAATCAGCCGAAACGAGTAGAAAACGGCTGAGAGAGGAGCCTTTGAAGTTGGGAATTTCGCTCTCTTGTCCTGCCCTGCGGGGCACGGCCTGCAACACGTCGCACGTGACGGGGCAGCGCGCGCGGTTCTCCGCGAAGTCCATGTTGTGGAGCTCCAGGTAGTAGACGTTCCAGTCGCCCGCGTCCGTGCTCTTCTTGCCGAGGTCGTCGCCGCGGTCGCCGCCGGCCTTCGGCGACCGGTACGGCTGGAACCCTCGCTGCCCCCGGAGCGCGAGGAGCTCCGCGCGCATCTCGGGCACGCGCGCCTCGACGTCGCGGAGCCACGCGAGCTCCTCCGGCGGCGCCGCGTCGCCCTCGGCCGCGCCGCGCCACCAGACGGGCGCCGCGCGGAGGCCCTCGAGGAGCTCGGGGCACCCGCGCTGCGCGGGCGCCGCGGACGCGGGCGGCACGCACTCGCGGCCGTTGAGCTTGCGCAGCCACCAGTGGCGCACGCGCTCCATGTCGTCGTCGCGCAGCTTGCGCAGGTAGGCCTGGGCCACCGATTTGCCGATGGCCGAGAGGCAGTACTCGTCGAGGACGCTCGCCATCTTCGCCATGATCTTGGCCTCGCGCGCCCGCGCCGCCCGCTGCTCCGGCGAGAGCTGCTCGTCGTCGTCGTCCGACGACAGGTCCACGGCGCGCACGCGGTCCGCGAGCGCGGCGCGCGCGTCGAGGGCGGCCATTGCAAGCGCCGCGCCGCTGATATTAATTGCCACAAAAGTCAATCTGTTTCTTTTACTCTTCATTGAGCTCGGTGGGGCAGCACTGCATGGCTGGTCGCCTCGGGCGGCAGCCTTTCCTCGTCCTGTGCTGAGCTCGGTGGGGCAGCAATGGCTACGATGGCCTGGCAGCCTTTCCTCGTCCTGTGCCTCCTACGGCTCGCCGCCGCCACGACGCCGGCGCCCGTTGCCGTCGATGCCGCCGACGACGACGACACGAACACGACGAGCGATCGCATCTACTACAGCATCGTCCTCGCCTGTGCGCTCTGCGTCGCCATCACGACGGTCTTCGACCGCCTCCGGAGCCGCGTCTGGTGGGTCTACGAGCCCAAGTGCCACCACCTGGCCTACAAGGACCACGCGCCGCCGGCGCCGGGCCCGCGGTTCCTCGCGTGGATCCGGTCCGTGCTCCTGCTCTGGGGCGACGAGGACGTGCTACGGTACGCGGGCCTCGACGGTTTGTGCCTGGTCTACTTCCTGCGCTTCGCCATGGACCAGAGCCTCTTCGCCGGCGTCGCGGGGCTGCTCGTGCTCGCGCCGGCCTACCACTCCGGCCGGGGCCTCCGCTCGGGCGCGAACGTCCTCGACGACGACCCGCCCGAGCCCTTTTCTTTTTCGATGACGACGGTGCAGAACATCCGCTGCCGCCTGAGCCACAGCCTGCTGGACAAGGAGTACGCGGACGCGCCGCTGTTCCCGCCCTGCCGGAACGGCTTCTCGAACTGGCGCTTCGCGCTCATCGTCTGCTGCGCGTGGGTCTTCACGCTCCGCGCGCTGAGCCGCATCTCGTCCGTGGCCCAGCGCTTCGTGCACCTGCGCCACTGGCACCTCACGCGCGGCCTCGACAAGGCGGGCAAGGCCGCGCCGGCGAACGCGCAGCACGCGCTCACGGCCGTCTTCGAGAACGTGCCGCACGCGCTCCGGAGCTCGCGCGCGCTCAAGCGGAAGCTGGACCGGCTCCTCGGCGACGACGCCGTCGCCGGCACGCAGATCATGGTCGGCGGCCTCGACGAGCTCGACGGCCTCGTCGCGCGGCGCGACCGCGCGCGCGAGGCTTTGGAGGACGCGCGGTCGAAGCGGGCCAAGCTCGCGTCCATGCGCGCCGCGCGGCTCCGCGACGAGGCGGAGCGCGCGAAGCGCGTCGGGCGGCCCTCGCTGCGGAAGCAGCGGTCGACGCTGCGCTGGTTCGAGGGCCTGCTCGGCGGCGACGGCGACGCGGCGGACGAGGAGGCGCCGCGGGCCCAGGCCATGCGGCGCGCGCACTCGCGCGACGACGCGCACGACACGGTCAAGGCCGTCGAGGCCAACGCGTTGAAGGCCCTCGCGGACCTCGCGGACGCGTTCCGCGCCGCGAAGAGCAGCCGGCACCTCCTCAAGCGGCGCGACTCCGCGACGTTCCCCGTGCCGCGCCACGTGAACCTGCCGCTGCTCGAGCACGTCGAGTGTGCGTTGTTCCGCGTCTCGGTGTCGTCCGCGTCCTTTGATGTCCCGCGGCGTAGGCGGTTGCTGCTACGGGTACTGGTCGACGTGGGACGGCCACTTCGTGCACAGCGTGCCCTACTACGAGCAGCTCGTGGCGGAGCTGAACCTGGCGATCCTCAAGGCCCACTTCAGCCGCATGGAGGCCATGGAGAAGCGCGGCGGCGTCGTCGACGACCCGACCGCGGAGGCGCGGAAGCGCACGTCCTGGCGGGGCTGCTTCTGGCGCGTGGACCCGCAGGAGAGCGACGACGACGAGCCCCAGGAGAGCGAGTACGCCGACGAGTTCGCCGACTTTCGCGAGCGGCACGCGCGGCTCGCGAGGCTGGTCCTGAAGAAGCACGAGCCCTGGGTCACCGTCGCGATGCGCGAGCCCCCGGCGACGTCGCTGCCGGACCTGAAGCGCCGCGTGTTGCGCTGGTGCCGGCGCGTCGTCACGCGGTCGGCGCCGGCCTGGTGCGGCGCTCTCCGGGGGGGCTGCGCCTCGCTCTACCACGACTTTGTGAAGTGCGGCACGAAGGTCGAGGCCGACGACTCGCTGCAGGACGCGGGCTTCCGGCCGTCGGGCACGGCCTTCGTGACGTTCCGGAGCCCCGCGGCGCGCGTCCACGCGACGTCGGCCATGCTGTCGCGCGCGCCCTTTTCCATGCGCGCGCGCGACGCGCCGGAGCCGAGGGACATCATCTGGGCGAACGTCGCCGTGTCGCCCAAGTCCGTGTCGCGGCGCCTCGTGCTCGTGAACTGCGGCCTCGCGCTGTTGTTGATGAGCTGGACGGCCGTCGTGTCCTTCTGCTCGAACGCGCCGCGCGCCGCGGAGAAGTGGGGCTGGGTCGGGTCCGAGCGGTCGTGGGTCGGCAATGCGGTGCTGTCGAACCTGCCGTCGCTGGCGCTGCTGGGCGTCATGAACCTGCTGCCCGTCATCTTCAAGGTCACGGCCCACTTCTACGAGCGGCGCAAGTCGCACAGCGACGTCGACCTGTCCGTGATCAAGCGCTACTTCATGTTCCAGTACGTCAACGTCTACGTGTCGCTGCTGTCCGGGTCGCTCCTCAGCGACTGGGACCGCGCCTGGGACAACCCGCTCGAGTTCGTCGAGGAGGTCGGCGCGAACACGCCCGTGCAGAGCTTGTACTTCATCAAGTTCCTGCTGCTCTCAGCGGGGCTGGCGCCGTGCGCGTTGATGCGCGCGTGGCCGCTGATCTCCCGCGGCTTCAAGTACTGGACGGTGCAGCCGCCGGACGCGACGGCCTTCTCCTACGGCGACATCCTGCCGCGTTTGATGATGGCCTTCACAATCTTCGCCACGTTCTGGATCTTCGCGCCGCTCATCTCGCTCGTCGCGTTCTGCTACTTCTCCGTCGTCTCCGTCGTCTACCGCTACCTGCTGCTCTACTGCCACATGCCCAAGTTCGAGAGCGGCGGCGCCTTCTTCTTCCTCATCATCGACCGGATCCTGTTCGGCGTCATCATGTCGAACGCGTTCCTCTTCTTTTGGTTGGTCACGCGGTCGCTCTTCGGCTACGCGCTCCTCGTGCTCCCGCTGCCCTTCGTCGTCGTCACCTTCAAGGCCTTCAGCCTCGAGGCCTACGAGGACCCCTGCAAGCGCGTCGCGCTCGACGAGGCCGTCGCGCGGACGACCGAGGATTTAGCGCGCGCGACGAAGGCCTTCGACGCGTCGACCTACGCGCAGCCGTCGCTCCGGCGCCGCGGCGGCGACATCGAGCACACGACGGTCGAGCACTGCGGCGGCACGGCGACGCGGTGGTGCTCCGGCGTCCCGCGGGAACGGGGTTCGAGAGGCGGCGACCGCGTTTGGACGACGACCCATCGGCGCCCGTAGGTTCCGCCACGTGTCCGACGTCGTCGACCGCGTCATGAACGACGCGCAGGCCGCCGACGCGGCGCGCGGCGACCGCGACGCGGCCGAGGCCTTCCGGAGCCGCGCGCGCGCGCGCAAGCGCGTCGGCGACGACCAGAAGCGGCCGCCGACGACGACGGTCGCCAAGTTCCAGCGCGTGTCCGCGAAGCTCGAGCGGGCCTACCGCGGCGACGACGACTTCTGGGCGTCCGCGGCCGCGTCCACGGGCCACATGGAGGAGCGGCCGTCGCTCCGCGCGTCCGACGGGCCCCTCCTGGCCCCCGCGCGGCCGGCCGCCGCCGACGGCCGCGCGGCGGCCACTTCGGCGGCCGCGGCGCCCGCCGCGGCCGCGGACCCCCCGCCCGTGTCGCCCATCGCCGCCGACGGCGCCGCCGACGGCGCCGCCGCGGGCGGCGGCGCGACCACGGCCGCCGCGGCCTACTTCGCGACGCCGAGGCGGGAGTCGGTCTACTTCGACGCCGCGGACGACGGCTAAGCAGCTCGCGGTCTTTAAAAGGGGGGGCGCGCGCGCGCGGTCACAGCGGGCGGGGGGGTCTACGCGCCCGCGTCCGGGAGCTCCGGGTCGAAGCTCTTGAGCTCCGCCATGAACTTGAGCCGCGTGGCCTCGTCCATCTGGTTGTCGCAGTACATGGCGCGCATGTCGATGGCGCCGTTGGACGCCGCGGCCTGGTTCGCGGGCTGGCTGCCCTTGTTGTTTCGCCGCGCGTCGCGGAGCGCCTGGAGGTAGGAGAAGCCGAACTGCTTGAGCCCCTTGAGGATGACCTTGGGCGAGAAGAGGCGGTGCGTCTGCATGAAGGAGGGCCCCGGCCAGGTCCAGACGACGTGGTGCTGGAAGGGGCCGAAGGTCATGACGTCGCCCTTGCGCGTCGTCACGACCTTGAACTTCGTGTCCGGGCCGAAGCCCTTGGCGAGCGTGGCGCCGTTGTAGACGTGGTGGCCCCAGTCGTTGCAGCAGTCCGGCTCGAAGAACATCCAGGTCTTCGTGCCCGTGCACTGGACGACCTTGGACGCGACCATCGTCGCGTGCAGGGGCGCCGTGTTCCGGAAGTTGGAGAAGTTGGAGAAGAAGGTGGAGACCGTGCGCACGCCCTTCTTCTGGTGGGACGCCGTCGCCGACTTCTCGTCCTTGTGGTACTCGCCGTCGAAGTGGAGGCCCAGGCGGTCGAGGTCCATCGACGAGTTCATCGCCTCGTCGGGCGACTGGTACGTCGACTTGACGCAGCCGATGACGTTGCTGCCCCGCGTGAAGTCGTTGACGTAGACGCGCGACGTGCGCGTGAGCAGGTCGCGCGCGGCCTCGTAGCCGCCGAGGTACTCGTCGTCGAGGTCGAGGCTCGGGCACTCGGCCTTGAGCGCCGCGTCCGTGAGCCGGAAGAGCTGGGGCGCGCCCATGGGCACGGGCAGGTCCGTGTTCTCGAGGCCCACGGCCGTGTAGCCCGGCCCGGGCTCCCAGTTGTCCCGGTCCAGCAGGAACGAGTTGTAGACGCGGCCCTCGCGGATCTCCGTCTCGCTGCTCTGGCGCTCGAGGGTGATCTGCATCGGCGGGTTTTTCAGGGTCAGGTAGACCTGGACGCCCACGCCCACGACGGCGATTGCCGCCGTCCCGAGGCACGTCTTCGCCTTGCCCATGGTCGCGGGCTGCGTCGAAGTGTCAGGCCGAAGGCAGTCGCACAGGACGACAGACGAGGTGTGACGGAGGCCTGCGGATATATCATTGAACTTTCCCGAGGGTGCTGCACCATCAAGTTTGGCTTTGGTCGCTGAATAGCTAGCTGCCACAACTCATTCGAGAGCAGGGTGCTCCGCATTGTTGCCTGCAGTCTATCACGTCGATAGCTCCGCGCCGCTGCCGGCGTCGCGCTGGTCACGGACGACGACGACGACGACGATCTTGCAAGCGTTTGCTTCCAGTCCATCACGTCATAGCGCCGCGCGATCGCGAGGCTGCGGCGCAGCCGAGTACAGCATCATGCGCCGCACGAACCCCGACGCCGAGCTGCTCGCGCCGCGGATCCGCCGCGTGTCCGCCGCGCCGGCGAACGTCGCGCGGCAGACGTGGATCGCCGGCGCGCTCCTCGGCGTCGCGCGGTTCCTCGATCGCTGGCTCGTCGCGACGGGTCTGCTGAGCGCGACGCGGCTGCTGCGCTGGCGGGTGACGCCGGCGAAGTTGCGGCGCCGCGCGCTGCGCCTCGCGGGCCTAAAGACGGAGCGCTACCACCTGCCGATCCCGCTCATCGACGCGCGCCTCCGCGCCGCCGTCGACGCGTGCGCGCGCGCGGACGACGCGCTCGCGGGCTGCGCGCGCGGCGGCCGCGACCTGCGCCTCGGCGTCGTCGGCGTCTTCGTCCTCGAGCGGCGGCTGACGCGGCAGCTCGTCGCGGACTTGCACGTCACCGCGGCGCGCGCGGCGGAGCCGCGCGTCGACGCGGCGCCCGCCGGGTCGCCCCTCGTCATCGTGGGCCCGCCGCGGAGCGGCACGACGCTCCTCCTCGAGCTCCTGGCTTGCATCGACCGGCGCCCCGCGGCCCGCGACGACGTTCGAGCGACGAGACCCGCGTAGGCGACGGCGACACCTGGCGCGAGCTCACGGCCGCGGACGCGACGATCCCTTGCGTCGTCGGCGACGACCGGGTCGCGTCGCGCGTCTCGACCCTCGCGGAGGCGCTGCTCGCCGGCCAGCAGTACGCGTTCGACCGCACGCGGGACGCGCACTACGAGAGATGGGACGGCGCGACGGAGTGCCGCACGGCGCTCGAGAACGGTCGCGCCCCCGGCGTCCGCTCGTAGCTGCGACTCGAAAAGAAACGCATAGGCTGCGGCGCGCCCTACGTGCTCTGGTGGGTCTTCGGCCTCACGGACCGTTTGGACGCGTGGCTCGACGACGACGCGGACCGGGACGGGGACTACGCGTTCTACAAGGCCCAGCTCGATGTGGTCAAGTGGGTGTCGGGAGGCGACGCCCGCGACTGGCTGCTGAAGGATCCCGCGCACCTCTTCTCGCTGCCGAGCCTCTTCAAAGCGTTCCCGAACGCCAAGGTCGTCTGGCTGCACCGCGAGCCCGCCGCGGCCGCGGCGTCGCTGTGCTCGCTCGTGTCCTCCCTCTGGACCATCGTCCACCGCGTCGACGGGCCGCGGGGGCCCATGCGCTTCCGGGGCCGCGTCGTCGAGTACCTCGGCCGGATGCTCGACCGCGGGCTCGCGTTCCGCGCCGCGCACCCGGCCGCGGCGATCCACGACCTGCGCATGAGCGACCTCGTCGCCGACCCCATCGCCAGCGCGCGGGCCATCTACGCCTTCGCGGGCAAGGACCTGTCCGACGGCGCGGTGACGAAGATGGAGGCGTACCTGGAGACGAACCGGCGCGAGCGCCGCGCGGGCCGCCACGGCTACGACGGCCGCGACTTCGGCCTCGACGTCTCGGAGCTGGACGCGCGCTTCGCCGCGTATAGGGAGAGGTTCGGGGTGTGAGTTATGTGTGTTGTGCGAGGCGATTGACTTCTTCAAGGAGTCGATGGTGAAGAGCCGCGCGCCCACCCGCAGCTCATGAGCGCAGGCCTACCCGCCAGGTCGGCCCGCACTTGCAGGCAAGGTGCTGCGCGCCAACTTGTGACGATTTGTTTTTGTCACGCGACGACGTCCAACGAGTCCAGACTCTTCGAGCGGTCGTGCGCAGCGACGCCAGGGCCTTTTCCAGCAAGCCACAGCTTGCAAACACCCTCCCGCACTCGCGCATCACCACAGCACGGCAACATTCGCTTCGCGGCCATGGACTTCGCGAACCTCGAGGAGTTCACGATCTCGAGCGAGACGGGCCGCGCGCCGCTGCACTTCTTCTGCAAGCACGGGCGCCACTGCGCCGTGTGCAAGATCATCAAGGAGCAGCCGTCGTCCGTGGGCGAGGCCGACAGCCGGGGCCGCACGCCGCTGCACGAGGCGGCGGCCGCGGGCTTCGAGGCGATCGTCGCGGAGCTGCTCCGGTGCGGCGGCGAGGCCGACCGCCCCGACGGCCGGGGCCTGACGGCGTTGCACGAGGCCGCGGGCAACGGCCACGAGCCCTGCGTGGCGCTGCTCCTGCGCCACGGCGCGTCGCCGAACCGGGGCAACGCGACGGCGCGGCTCACGCCGCTCCACGGCGCCGCGCTCGGCGGCCACCACGCCTGCGTGGCGGCGCTGGCTTCGGCCGGCGGCGACGCGAACAAGCTGGACCGCTACGGCCTGACGCCCCTGACGCGCGCGGCGGGCCGGGGCTGCGCGAAATCCGTCGCGGCGCTCCTGGCGGCCGGCGGCGACGCGGACCGCTGCAACGACGGCGGCTGGGGCCCGCTCCACGCGGCGTGCCGCAACGGCCACGGCCGCGCCGTGCGCGCCCTCCTCGCCGCGGGCGGCGACGCGAACGCGACGGTCCACGAGGACGAGTCGCCCTTCGCGTACGCGGTCCGCCACGGCCACCGCCGCCTGCTGCCGCACCTCCTCCGGCGCGGCGCGCGCGTCGAGGGCGCCGACGGCATCATGCGCACGGAGGAGAACGGCGACGCCTGCGACTACTGCGACAAAATCTGCGAGGCCGGCGGCTGGCGCGCGCACGCGAAGCGCCACCGCCGCGTGTTGCGGGCCGTCGCGGCCAAGTGCGCGGGCGCGCTCCTCGTCGACGACGTCGTCGGCGTCGTCGTCGACTTCCTCGTGCCGGAGGGGGGGTTCTGAGGATGCGACGCGGCGGGCGGCCCCGGGTTTGGGGCGCGCCGATTAACGTGACACGCTCATTGCCGACTAACATGACGCGCTCACAGGCAAGTTCACAGCCGGCGAGGCTCCGGCGCCGACCCCTCATTCACGCGGCAAAAACTGCAACGCGACGGCAATCAAGGCTCAAGCAAGGCTTGGCCGCGACGGGCCGCGACGCGCTGTTGCGACGCTGTCCACCGCCGCCGTCGAGACGACCACGATGGCCGCGGGCAACGACGACGAGGAGCTGCGCAAGGCCATCGCCGCGTCGCTGGCCGAGCAGCCCGCCGCCGACGAGAACGCCGACATCCAGCGCGCCATCGAGGCGTCGACGACGCCCCAGGACCTCAACGCTTTGACGGCCGCGGAGCAGGACAAGCTGACCATCGAGCAGATGAACGCCATCAACGACGAGATCCAGAGCAACCAGGCCATGGTCGGCGACCGCGTCGGCGTCGCCGCGGCGCTGGCCGGCGAGTACGACGGCAACGCGAACGCGGGCTTCGCGCGGGGCATCGCGGAGCTCGACGGCAAGTACGCGTCCCTCCGGCGCGTGCGCAAGGACGGCAACTGCTTCTACCGGGGCTTCCTCTACCGCTACCTCGAGCACCTCTGCGAGCTCCAGGCCGGTCGCGGCGCCGGCGCGCCGCACCCGGAGCTCGAGCGCGTCCGGGGCGTCGTGCGCGCGTCCAAGGCCAAGATCCTCAGCGTCGACTACGAGGAGACGGCCATCGACATGTTCTGGGAGATGCTCGTCGAGGTCCTCGACGACGTGCCGAAGACGACGCTCGACCAGTGGCACGCGAAGATGAACGAGGAGCACGGCGTCGCGATGCACATCGTCTGGTTCTGCCGCGTGCTCAGCGCGGCGCAGATCAAGCTCAACGCGGACCGCTTCGCGCCCTTCGTCATGGACGAGACCGGCGCCGCGGACGTCGCGGAGTTTTGCCGGCGCGAGGTCGAGCCCGTGAACCACGAGTGCGAGCAGGTCCAGATCATCGCGCTCACGGAGATGCTCGAGATCCCCGTGGCCATCGAGTACCTCGACGGGAGCGGCACGCCCTCGAAGCTCGTCTTCCCCGAGGGCGCGAGCCCCGTCGTGAACCTGCTCTACCGGCCGGGCCACTACGACATCCTCTACGAGGAGTAGGCCGCGGCGTAACTCTTATCGGCGACACACTTGGCGACACCGCGGACGTCCATACAAAAAGGGTTGTCGCTATGTACATGATGCCGCGTCGGGCACCGTCAGAGCTCCGAGCGGCCTCGCCCGGGGACCGTCGGAGCTCCTCGCTCGGGAACCGTCAGAGCTCCTCGCTCTTGGTGGGGAAATCCTCCTCGGCGATGGAGACGATGTCGTGCGCCGGCAGCTCCGCAGGCGCGTCCCGGTCGTATTTCTTCGAGCCCCGGGGCGTCGCCACGGCGCGCGGCGAGTCGGCGGCGAGGTCCGAGGGCGCGTCGTCGGCGCCCTTGGAGGAGCCCTTGGAGGAACCCATCAAACTGTCCAACGTGCCGGTCTCCGTGAGCCGCTCCTTCGCGTGCGCCCCGAGGCTCGAGAACAGATCCGTCTGCGTGTTCGCCCGTATCGGGGGTATGAGCATAACCATCCTGTTCTCGTGCGTGTCCTGCGAGAAGATCATCCCCACGAACCAGATGCTCGCGAAGATGGGGACCGCGCTGATGAACGCGAGGATGGCCCCGAAGAGCGCGTCGTCGTAGCGCGCGTCGGCCTTGTTCGTCTCGCTCGAGACGTGCGTCGCCTGGATCATGAGCGCGCCGACCAAAATGAGCACGGTCTGGTCCTGGGCGACGTTCGCGAGGTGGTTCTCGGCCCAGTCCGCGTACGGGTTCCAGTGCGCGAGGACCTTGCACGTGAAGAAGGCGATGAGCACGCCGCCGAAGATCTGCGTGAGGCACGAGTCGTAGAAGAAGATGAGCAGGCCCGTGATGAGGATCTTGTAGGCGCAGACGAAGAGCTCGAACCAGTACGCGTTCGCGTGGTAGGGCTCGAAGAGGAAGCTGATGTAGTGGAGCTCGTCGTGCGCCTCCTCCGTCGCCTCCGCCTCCTTCGGGGCGGCGTCCTCGCCCGACGCGAGCTCCTCCGCCTCGTGGAGCGCCTCGTCGATCCTCGCGCCGAGGCCCTTGACGCTCCGCTTCCGCTGGAGCTTCCCCTTGGCGGCCTCGGATTCGTCGGGCGCCGCGTCGAGCGCCGCGAGCTTCGCCTTGATCTTGGACCGCTCCGTGAAGAGGAGCACGGCGTAGAGGCTCGGGATGCCGATCGGGTAGACGAGCAGGAGCAGGAGCGCGTAGGGCCGGACCGCGGCCTTGTAGTACGTCGACCGGCAGTCGATGGAGTAGTCCGCGAGCAGGTAGCTCTCGTCGTCGCCGTCGCCGTGGAACGTCTCGCAGCGGAACGTCGTGAAGAGCATGGACGTGACGGACGTGAAGACGAGGTAGCTCCACCAGAGGAAGTGCGTCGCGGCCGTCGCCCGCGCCCTGGCCCGCTTCGCCGCGTCGCCGCAGCAGGCGTTGCAGATGAGCCACTTGACGAAGATGAGGAGGGAGACGGCGACGGGGAAGAGCGTCGCGAAGACGAGCCGGTCGAAGAAATCCGTCGACGGCCGGACGCACTTCACGGGCAGCAGCTGCACGAAGTTCAGGTTCACGAACGACAGGGCGGAGAGGAACTTCTCGTACACGTTCGGGAACTTGACCTCGGGGAAGACGAAGGGCAGCTGGCTCAGGACCTGGTAGAAGCTCAGGAGGATGCGCGCGAAGACGCGCACCGTCGTCATGAAGACCGCCTTGTTCGCGCCGCTGTCGTCCTGGACGCCCGGCCCGCCCAGGAACGTGTCCATGACGGTCCGCAGAACCGTGTGGTCCTCGTCGGCGATGTAGCGGGCATAGAAGGCGACGACGGCGATGGCGCCAAGGGGGGCGAGCAGGAGCGCGACGATGGTCGCGAGCGACACGGGCGCGGTGAGCAGGCTCGACCCCTCGCACTTCTCGCAGCGATGCGCCGTGGCTTCAAAATAATACTCGTTTCGGCAGCTTATCCAGGGGGGTTCGTGGGGTACCTTGGCGAGCCGAGCCAGGTGGCGGCCGGAGGCCGCCCCCTAGCCGTCGCAGCGGAGGTTGGTCGTGAGGGTGGCGAGGGCGGCGCGGTCCGCGAGGCGGCGCGCGTCGTCTTCGAGTCGGTGGGAGAGGGCGCGGGCCTTGGACGTCCAGGTGCCGTCGACGAACTTGAGGCCGGAGATCAGGTAGCGCGCGCGGTACTTCGCGGCGGTGGTGCCCCACTCGCGGTGGAGCTCGTTGCTGAGCAGGGCTTTCGCCTGGTCGGGGCACGCGCAGCCCATGGAGATCCAACGCGACTCGGAGAGCGCGGTCGCGACGTCCGCGAGCAGGGACGAGACGTCCTTGGAGGCCTCGGAAAACTGGCCGAAGACGAGGCCGACGCAGCCGCCGAGGGAGCTCAGCGCGCGGAGCATCGGGCCGTCGGAGACGCCGTTGATCTCAACGTCGATCTGCTTCGCGTGCGCCTTGTATTCGTTGTCGACGTAGGACGCCCGCTTGTCCACGGGCGACGCGCCTCTCCGCGCGGACGCCGCGGTGGAGTAGTAGTTCGAGTCGGCGGCGGACCAGGCACAGAGAGGAGTCTTTAAGCGGCTAGCAGCCTACTAGGGGTGACTCCTCGCCAAACGCACCAGCTCTCTCCCTTCCCTGGCATGAGCACGTCCACGAAGAAGCAGCCAGCTGGGGACCGAGGCCTCCCTCGGCGGACCATGCACCTCACAAGGCGCGCAATGGTCCAATGCTGATGCGAGCCTGCGGATTCGAACTCGGCCAAGAGCCCTACACCGCAGCCGCGCTTTCCGCGGGGCTAGACTGTACCTTGAACCGGCCGCCAAAGCAGCCGGCCCGCCTCCGTGCAGTCGTTACACGCCGCTGGATTGAACTGGTCCAACGACGCTCGGGATTCCCGCCCCGCCAGCTGCCCCATGCTCCTCCGGCACAGTCAATGGCAGCGACAGGTTCTGGTCGACGGTGGTCACCGTCGGCCGGCGGCTTCCCCCGAACAGGAGGCGTCGCTGCGCGTGGTCGAAGGCGACCGCTTCGCCCGCTAGCCTTCGCGGCACCGCCTGGCCGGCTAGCCGCGTCGGCCTGCGCGGGCGTCGCTGCGTCATCACCGCGCTTCGTCCCTATTCCA